TCGTTTTTATAGTTACCGATTGTCAACGATTATAAAAACGAGCCGAAAGGCTCGAATAATCGCGTCTTCTCTTCCCAAATCGTTCATTTTTGTGCGCAAGCCGAGCATTAATTACGGAGAATTAGAGATGGATCTTAATAATTAGGGAGAATAGTAAGACGATTTAATTAGGGGACTAGAAAGAAGTTCCTTATGCTTCGGTCAAAATGACGGATCTCTGAATTTTTCTTCTACGGTCACTGAAATCATAAAAATGTTTCCACGAGAAAATTTTCGATAAACTTCTTCATGCGAGCGTATACGAATGAGTTAGAATAATAGTGGCGTAATTTCCGAAAATGTTGACCTACACGTGCCAAAATGTTCAAGACAAGTGGAATAAATTCTAAAGTAACTATTAAGTTAACTTAACTCTAAATTATCTTGAGAATAAATTTGTTCAGTAAACAATACACTCATCCTTGTTTCTCAGAATAAGGAACACGTGACTCACGCCACTATGATTCTAACTCACCTATATTATAATAGAAATCGTACAAAGTTAGAATAAACCCAATTCTTGTTATTAACAGCGCGAATTAGTCGCGGTTACGGTTCGGCAGTTTTAGCGTTGAAAGCGGAGAGATGAAGCGTTCGATGAAAATTGTCTTATAACGAGAAGGGAATTATGATTTAATATTTGTTGCGGTAAAAAGTAATGGACTTCTTCTTCCCCTTCTTCCCCCCACGATATAAGCGGGAGAACTATCTCGACGTTTTTCCGGAAGAACTGATTAAAATTTTAAGTTAACGTATACCTCGCGTCACGCGCAGTCATTTCTGGGTTATAACTTCGTCATCTCCTTGAATTTCAGGAAATCGTTTTATCGCGGCGCTCTATGCATACAAAATTTTAGGGGATCGCGAAAGAAAGCTTCGCTCTTTTTGAAGCATCACGGTTACACAGTCCGCAATAAATTAAGCTTTACCGTACTGTGTGGCAGTTCGTTATTTTCTTTTTTTTCATAACTAGATTGCGAATATTGTGCAACGAACCAACGATTTGTTGTCGCACAAATTTATTTACTACAGTTTCTGGTTTATTTCTGCAGTTTGCGGTTTATTTCTACGTTTCCGGTTTATTTCTGCAGTTCATGGTTTATTTCTGCAGTTTATGGGTTATACCACTGTGATTCATTCATGTACATATTATGTCCAAAGCGTGATAAGTGTACGCAGGACCCGAATTGACTCATTTCATTCTCCGAAAATGAGCTTTAAATTGCTCCAATAAATTGCCGGTTCAAGCCCGATAATTTCGTCAAATTGAAGTAATCAATCTAACGAAATAAAAATTGGAAAACCGAGATATACGATACCGAATGTTCTTTCGATCTTCCTGTAGTTTGCAGATCCGAACGAAAAGTGTATAGAAAACGTTAATGCTAAAATTAATTGACCCAATCTGTTTAAATCGTCACCTAATCAGTCAAATCTCGGCAATTTGGCGAAAGAAATTGGTGTTACACTGGGCTTAACGCAAAGACTAATAACTCTACATGTAGTATCTACAAAAATACGTTTAGAAAAATCGACGAATAAAGCTGAGAATCGTCCTAAACATCGTGAATTGCATAATCGCGAAAATGGTCCGAGGGTTAATGACCGTTCAAATAAACGGTTGAACCGGGTCGGTGGACATTGCGCCGCATCCTCCGCCGATTTTTGCATGCGGAACGGCCAAGGCAGCGCGAAATTTTAACCGCGTCTGACCAGGTGCGGCTTAATCCCCTAATCTCCGTGAGCGTCTCGCGCAAGAGCAATTTCACGCGACATTGTCTCGCAGCGAATCTAAAGCAGTCCCGAAAGTCCTTGGTTTTTCGGGGCTGCGTTCGGTACCGGCGGAGAGCCGGGAAACCGAGGGTCGAGGAAACACGCGGAAGAACGGTTCGTTTCGTTCGCGTTGCCAACGGCCGGCCTCTTTTTCTCGCCCGTTTGCCCCCCGCCGTGCGCGCAAGCAGCGCGGCTAACTCCTTTCAGATATGCTTTTTTCGCGGCGGCTCTTCCGTGAAAAGAAAGCTTTTCGCTCGCGGTTAAAGAGTTCTCTAACACTGAAACCCGAACGCCCAAGCCCGGAGAAAATCATCTTTCATCGGACCGAACGAAAATATCGACTCGCGTTACCCGGAAAGATTCTTTCTTCCGGACGCTTCGGGACCTGTTTCCTCGATTTCGTGTTACCGTCACGATTACCAATTCCTGAATCGCGGAAAATTCAGCCGTGGAACAGAAATTACTGTCTAATAAATTATAAATAAATTAAAAATAAATATAAATAAATTATAGTCTAAATTATAGTCTTACACGTTCTTCGCGCTCGTGTCAAATTATGCGAATATTCTATTGTGCACCGAGCAAGTATAGTAGAAGATAATGACACGATAATGTCTTTTACGTAATTAGAACGACGTCGAGGTGTAAAATTCATTATGAAAAGGATATTCTTATGGACGTTGTTAACGCTTCTTTCGAGGATACTTATATTTTTTCGACTTCGTTTCGCACGAAAAATAAAACCTTATTACCTTAATTATTGCACCAATAAAAATCCTTGAAATTTCTTCGAGCTGTGAAATTGTTGAATAAAAACAGCGGAAGCACGTTACCGCGCCGAACGTAAAAGTAGTGCAGATTAATGTACAGTGAATGTCGTAATAACGTTAGCTATAAAATGCGGCCGAAAAAGTGCCGCGCACGCGTGTAAAAAGGCACGGAGCGCAGCCTCGAAGGACTTTGAAAAATGGTATTTAAAAATGTCTACACATTTATTACGAGCACCGGCGTCCATCCCCTTTTCCGGAAAGCCGACCATAATAATACGAATTTAATTTTCGCCATAAAACCGAGCGATGCTACGAGGTTTCCGCTGTCACATTTTTTTCTCCGTTCCCGGCGCACGCGGGTTCGCGCCGTTTTTACAAGTGTTCGCATATTAAATGCCGGAACACAGCCGCAGCGAAAGACTCTCCGCACCCATTAGAGACTGCGATCGAATCGAATCTACGGCCGGAGCACTCGAAAAATATATCGCGGAGTGGCGGCGGACCTCTTTTTATTTTTTTCCCGCCCGGCGCGCCGGCGTGTTTCGCGCGCGAAAGCCTCGCAGTGTTGTTCTTTTACGCGGAAAAAATCGCTGATACCGAGCCGCGGAATATGTTCGACGGGAAAATCGGGAATCGAGGCCGATCCCCGTGATCGCGTTATTTCGCGATCCGCCGCGTACGGCTCCATTACAATTACAAAAAAAAATCCGGCCGGCGTTTCTCTCATAAACGCAAAAAAATCCCGCTCTCTAATCATAATACATGACTGAATAATATCCAGCGAACTTACAAGTTACAATTAAAATATATCCTAGTGGAAATACGTTGCATTTAATAAATTAATAAAAGTCCCAGATACGCTGCTGTTTTTTTCTCCGAAACGAAGCCTTCGCGATTGGCCAACGGAATATTCCAAGATACTCCGAAACAATGATTTTTCTTTGGTCGGAAAAGTGGAAGAATGACCGTTGAACCCGATTATTGTATAATAAAGTTCGTTACGTGGCCGCAACGCGGGACGAATGAAAGGACGAATGACAAAACTGGCAACAAACTTTTTTCATTCTACGCCGGTATCAGACACAGACACCGAAGCCGCGCAGCATGTGCAGACGCCGAATGAAATTTTCAGTCGGTAGAGCGGATTTTTTAATCCGACCAGAGACAATGCTAGGACCGAAGCACAGTTTCACAATTATTCTTCTCGATTTCCCGTTGTTCGATGAAATCGATGTTTTCGAAACTCCATTGAAGATCGTCCACGCTCGTATTAATCATCGTTTTGCTCTCTTCGGCGGCAGCGTTGGTCATTCGAGTCTTGCTTGACAACCATTGTACGCTCTTCAATTTCAGACTCGATCAGCGTCGAATCAAAGCAGAACATCAAAATTAATAATAATTATTCCGTTCTCCCGGTTATCGGAAGTTAATCGACGTCGATAATCTCGCTTTATGTTTCATCCGCTCCCATTGCCGACACATTTAATTATCGTATTATACATAGAACAAATTCGTAACTTACTGACAAGTGTATTTTATTTATTTTCTCGATGAAATGTCTTCGTTGCACGTCGTTGTACGTCATACATAAAGAATACATATAATTCATATTTCATAAAGTAATAGCGTGTACACGTATGATTTTTAAAACAAATATGATAATCGAGAAAGTTAAATGCATTCGAGGTGTCTCGCTCTTTTTAAACGCATTTGAATACTTAAAACATTAGTACAAAATACAGCATTGTAAACGACAGGATCCACAGAATAGTCGTACATCGAAATCATTGGTATAGTTTTTACAGTTAACCCTTTCGCTACGGGCGGGTTCTTCACCGCGGTACTTCCGCTGAACGGAGCGCCGCGACATCACTGCACGCTACGCGACGCCGATCGTCAGCGGGAGTACCGCGGCGGAGAACCCAAGCTGCTTGAATGTTTTCGTACGAAAAAATTTCTCTCCAAAGGGTATTTATAAATAAAGGGTATTCCAGGGTATTTATAACGTCTTAGCATGCGCTCTTTAATTTACAGTATGAGAGGAAATAAAACATTATGCAATATAATGCATCTTATGGAAGGCCACTATAGTGGCCCGTAGTACCTCAGTGGCATCTTATGAAAGGCCACTATAGTGGCCCGTAGTACCTCAGTGGCATCATACGAAAGGCCACTATAGTGGCCCGTAGTACCTCAGTGACATCTTATGGAGGGCCACTATAGTGGCCCGTAGTAGCGAAAGGGTTAAAGCAGAAGAAATTTGTAATGTTTTTTTTTTCAAAGTCTACGAGATTCATTCAGTGGGTATCGAAACGTGAAATTACGCTTCTTCGTAGTGCATAAAGATGCACTTTCCGGTAGACCGTGATATTCAGCGAGTCTAATTTCTCGTCGATCGTAACGAAGATTTGGTTGCAGGTTGCAGGTACGAGGGGCGCAGATACCAGGAGGGCGCGTCGGTGATCACGTCCGAGCCCTGTCTGCAGTGCAGGTGCATCGAGGGCGCGCTCAGATGTCGTCTCCGAGTTTGTCCACGATTGCCGAACCCGCCGCCATCCGGATGTCGAGTTCGCCCGCCGGGAGAGAACGTCTGCTGTGCGGAACTAGTTTGCAGCGACACACGTTAGTACCGTTGCAAAAAAACCTGCCAAACAATTTGTCCAAAACAACGTCCAGTTCTGTCGAGCTGTCCAAACACCTTTGACAAGAGCTGACTGTAATTATTCAACCGCGATCGTTGTTCCAAAAAAATATACATCTGAATTTTTACCGTCGATACGGATGCAAATGTGTCCATTGTAAACTCCGAGCATCGTGCGCGCTCGAATTGACTCGGTACATTTGTAATTCGGATTGCGGCATTAACGGTTTTAATTTGTCACTAGCGCAGATTTATTATTTCTAGTTAAACATTTCTGTGCAGGATTGTTTTTAAGATCGAACACAAAGCGATCGGAAAATATGAAAGGAATTTGAAGCAAATTCGAGTAAATTCTGTAGATCTCGAAGCACATTAACAGACGCGTTCGTAAATTAAATACGGATTTCGCTTCTTTTCCGAGAAAACGGGCTTCATATATATGAAGAGCCTAGCCGGAAGCGATAAGAACCCGTTTATATATATATATATTTTCATATACGCATCTGAGATCCAGGCTTATTAATGAAAGGGACACGCGCGTGATACTTTTCCAGGAGACTCGGCGAACATTTTAAGAAGATCCAACGCCCACATAGAGCAGGAAGAGAAGCACGAGGAGGATTACCAGACTTCTCGTTTTCAAGGTAAAGGATTAGCAATTAATGAGAGAGTATTCTCCGAGCCTCGAATCACGGAGATCCGGAAATCTTTAGTACTTTAACTAAATCAACAAGCTTCTTTCTGCTGGTAGCGATGCGCAAAATCTCTGGAACGAAAACGTGTAATTGTAAAAATTATTAGATCTAGATGTACTAGTCTGGATATTACAGCGACTGTTAGATCAGTCCGCGATATAACATTGCTGCTCAAAAATATTTCATCGCTCCTCCGTCGCGCGATTTTCACGCGTTTAACTGAAGAAATATAATGAAATATTTTAATTTCCTTATTATTAACACTAGATTTACGAAAACCACTAAACCCGCTAAAAAAACGAAGCCACTAATTTGTTAATTCGCGATTATTCTATTGTAAAAATACACCAGAGTACACTTGCAAAAAATCAGAATAACTGTGTTATCGTTACTTTTGTAAACTAATATAAAACGGCTGCTTTTAATGCACCGTAAATCCGGTGTTGGAGTAAAGATTGTTAGAGCGTAATTAATGTACAATTTTATTTGAATTTCTGACGTAAATGTTCTCGCATTTTACAATCCGACGATCGTAATAGTTGCGTAAAAATCGGCGATCTAACGGCCACGCAATAAATTGCGAAAACGCTGTACAGAACAACCATAAATCCTTAACGAGAATACATTCGTGTGATAAAATTGCTGCGGTGGCAGCAGCCCGCGAAACGAGAACGCGACGTTAAGAAAAAAAGAGAAAAGAAACGCGCATCAACGCGCGGGTCGTTTCTGTTCTCCATACCGCGATCACCATAAGCGATGAAGTATTTTTTGAGCGGCGGCGCGGACTCGTTTGAAGAAGCGTGGCCACGTTTAAAAGGTTCTAGGGCGAAGGGGTTCTTCTGTTAACAATCAGGTTGCCTGCACGAGGGCGTGAGATACGGGCCAGGTTCAGCGATGATGGGCTCACGTAGATGCGAGTACTGCTACTGCATCTCCGGCGCGAGAAGATGCATCAGACCGAAGTGCCTGTTGCCCCTGCCAGGATGCACTCCGCTCTATGCGCCGCACTCCTGCTGCCCCGTTGCCTACAATTGCACCCGTGAGTGTACTTTCCCTCTACGTCGCGAGTTCGCCGCTCTCTCGCCGAGAACCGAATAACTCATACCGTTTCTCTTCTTCTTTCCACCGCAAAGATCTTCACTCGTCCACGCTGGCGCCGATCATGGGAAACGGTGAGTTTCATTTCATCTTTAATCCCGAAACGAATTACAGTAGTGTCTCTCTAATTGGCGCTCAGATCGTCCACAAAAAAATGGACAATTTTGGAAGAGGAGATATGCGATTATCCGAGCCTTGCGGTTCGTTTTCATAGCTAGGAATTGTCAAGAAATATAGAAACGAGCTGCAAGGCTCGAATAATCGTATCTCCTCTTTCCAAATTGTCAATTAGGGAGACATTACTGTAGCTGCTTCTTTTCTGTTCCGCGAACCACTTCGCACGCGGCTCCATTCGAAACGATCGCTCTCACTGCCTCGGTTCATTAGCGAACTGCATATGTTTATGCAAATTTCGCAGCTTTATCGGAGACTGTTGCTTCCAACTCCGTTCTTCAACGGAGTTGCGCAAGAATTTGCTCGGTAATTCGTTCGATAAATCGCTGATGTGCGCAAGGCTCTTGTTAGAGATGTCAAACAATAATCTGTTAAGTAGGAATGTTAATTCTGTCGGAATTTTATTAAGTTTATTAATTTCAAGTCGGAATGAAATACTGTTCCAAGAAATTAGCGCGATTGAAGAAGCGCTTGATCATTGTAACTGTGAAGAAAATGGTACGGCAAGGGATTCGTTTAATCAAGCTTCGTATTTTATTGCTTTTATTGCTTTTTACAGTTTGATAACGGCAACGAATTTTTATTCAGAGATGGATGCTAGGTAGAATATTCTCATCTTGTCGGATAAGGAAACTGCGCGTTACAGCTTTGTGTTCCAATTTTCTCGAGACAAAAGGCTAAAATATGCTGAACTTATTTGCGGATTCTATTAAACTATTTATCAGTGATGCACCGTTTTCTAATTCGCTGCTAACTTCGATACACGAGCTTACAATTACACCAGCTTATAATTGCAATGTAAAAGTTTCATTATCAAGACAGTAATGTAAGAACTATTTGCAGAATAATTGCTCAATTTATAGCATCTTCTAAAAAAGGCGTTAAAAATTTACAATGCGATTGTTCGATACCGAAGAAATCACTGCGCAAGTAGAAACGGCGAGTGATGGACAGACAAGTCGGTCAATCGACGTTCACTGTCGCAGAGACGATCGATTCTTAAATCGATCTATTTGTAGAAAGTGTAGTTTCAGTTTCTGAATCTGAGTACAATAAATCAAAAAGATTTTCATGGACAAAAATTGTTCGATACTTGGTCGCTTAATTCCGCGTCTGCGTGAAAGTAGGCGAGCACGTCGGGATTATTTTCGGTGCTTTAATTCGCGGTTCATTTCGATCCGGCTGTTTATCTTCCGCAGCGGCTTAATGATCGGCGCGAGGGGAACCGGTTCGCCGGTTTTCCGAAAAGCCTTCCCAGACTGCGCGGGTCTATCGGACGATGGCCGGGCCGGGCAGTATAACGCGATAAAAAGCAAAGTTCGGGCGCGGGTCGCGCCGTATCAGTCCGCTTTTGAGGAAGAAGCCGAGCCGTAGCTGGCCGAGTTTAAATTTAAGCCGAGCTTATGAGGAAAAATCGCATCGCGGGACGAAATCAGGAGGAGACGCCTCCTGTATGGCGAACTTTAATCCCCTTAAATTGCGTCGGGTTTTATCGCGGCGCCGAGTACCATCTAATTATCGTTACGAAAGTCCCTCTCCCTTTTCAAGAGATCTCCCCGGGGCCCGCCTTCTTTCTTCTCCGGTTTCCGGCGAACAAGAAACTTTTTTCCGTGGGTACGTTCTCTGCTCCGTATCTCTCTCTCTCTCTTTCTCTCTCTCTCTCGCGCGCGCACACATACACTCTCTCCCTTTCGCCTTTCTTTTGCGGGCGGAGTTAAGAACACGCGTCGGAAAGTTGCAGGGAAACGTTTAGCGCAATAAAGCATGGTTACCGTCGCCGTTACTTTATCCCGTGACACTCGCTTCAGAAAGATTTCCGCCATCGCGCGTCCCTCCCCTTCCCGCCAACACCTCGCCGCGCCGCCCAGGTCTCTTTCTTTCTACCCTCTTGCTTGCCCGTTCACTTAACGCCCGGTTTCATTCAATTTTACGACCCGACCCGGCCCGACCCGGCCCGAGCCGGCCCGCCGCCGGGAAAACTGGAAATCACGTTCCCAGGTAAATCTGACGCGTGAAGCGCAACTTCCGCCATGAATCTCGCCCCGGTTTTTCCGAAGGCTGCGCCCTGCCTCTGTCTCTGCCTTCCGAGCGCAATTGTTACACCCTCCCGCGGCATTCTCATCTCCGGATTTTCCTTACCGAACTCCAGCCGCTTTTCTTTCCTTTTTTTCTTTTTTTTTTTTTAAAGCATTCCCTCCCTTATTTTCGGGCGGGGTTCGACGAACTTCGACCGTGGAAAAAAGTTTCACTCAGTCGATCCCTTCTTCTCTAATTTTTTTTCCCGCCTCCCCGATTCGTTGCACTTTGGATTTTATTTCCGGGAATACTTCGTGACGTTACCGAAAGCTCTGAAAAATTTTTATTCCTTCGTTCTCGGCGCACCTTTCTGAATTTTTTTTTTCGCAACGGGTTCGGTACACCGGGAGAAGGCGAGCCGAACTTTTGGGAATCTCGCGAGAAACGCTATTTAACGGGTTAAATTAACTACGTCGTATCCTCTTATGAAATATGATAAGAATTTCGTCTTAGAGAAGCGCTGAATTCTCAAAATATCATGTTATGTGTTACAATTTGAGATAATTATATTGGCAAAATTAATTTGATCTTTTTATATACATTAAAAGTGCTACCAAGACCTGGTTCGACCTTGACAGGTTAACGAAGAAGGAAGGAAAAGCGAGTGAAAGAGAAAGAAAGTAATTATCCGTATACATGAAATTAAATTGTACAAATAAATTAATAAATGACGATAAATAATAATGAGCAGAGATTAACAATGATAAACAGACAATACCGAATTAAAGTCAGCAAACAATAAACTAAGTTCCAAACAAAATTCAGCACCATTATTTTTTCTCCCTTCTTTGCTGATCTCTCAAGGTCAAACCAGTCCACGATAGCACTTTAATAACGATAAATAATAATGAACAGAGATTAACGACGATAAACAGATAATATCGAATTAAAGCCAACAAACAATGAACTAAGTTCCAAACAAAATTCAGCACCATTATTTTTTCTCCCTTCTTTGCTGATCTCTCAAGGTCAAACCAGCCCACGATAGCACTTTTAATTTACATTTTCGCGACCTCGCTGACATATACAAAATCGGCGCGATTTTGTCATCAGTTAAATATTGCTCCTTGTTAGGGTCTCGAGCCGCAGTCCGAGGAACGGAAATGAAATTCTGACCGTGGTCCCTGTCCTCGCATATTTAGGTCGTCGGACCTCGCCTCCCGGCCCAATTTTCAGACGCTGCTGGCCGGCGTACATTCAACGACCAGTTTCGCGTCGCTGCTTAAAACTTTAAAGCGACCCCTAAAGCCTCGTTTCTACCCCATTACGCGGACGCTTCCGACGCCGCTACGTACCCGTCTTGATCTCACCGGTGTATTGGGCAACAAAGTCTTATCAGAGTTCTTTAATTGCAACTAAAACACTTTTATCTACAGTTTCGCACCCAATTTGACAGCAACACTGCGAACGTTCCCTTTGTGACAGACGCAGTTTGCAACTGTTGTTCGAAGTTCGGTCGCAGGCTTTTCACGATCTTATTAGCGAGCAGGTTCGAACGCGTTGGTCTTGACGGTGTTAACGGCAACGTCGAGAGTATATCTCGTTAATTTTCAAAATCATTAACTCGAAATTATTATTGATACGTTTACCGACTCCCGTCAAACATGCCCGGAGCGTATTAATCCCTGTTGAATCAGTACGATTCGAACGACGGATTATAAACGGTCTTATTGTGCTGCTAGCCGAGCTCTATTACCGGCCCATAGAAACGCTTTATTCAGAACAATTTTATTCATTCATGAATGTTGATATTGTTCGAGTTTTCCGAATCGAGACGCACATTCTCTCCCGATTAATGCGAATCTGTGTCACGAAGCTTTCAATGGATACATTCGGAGCGGGTATTGCGACTCGATGACCATTATATCGTGCTGAAAGAAATTGGTGACGGTGTAAAAAAAAAGAAGAGAAGAAAGAAGAATGTTATTCACGATTTATTCTATTGAAACGCGGGGAGAAAATTATCGCCGCGATGAAATATCACGTCGTGCTGACGTAATTCTTTCCGTAATACGCGTTCGTATTTGGTAGATTATGTGCGAAATGATTCGTCATCAGTGTCTGATTCTCTGTCACGTTGTTATAGTGCCACGGGAATTCTATAATTCATGGAAACCGAATGTTATGTTTGACCGAATTCTAATAGTACTAAAAATATTCCAATAGAATATAATATATAAATATTCTAAATATTCGAATTCTAATAGTACTAAATATTTCATTCTTTTATTTATTTATATTATTTATTATATTATATATTATATTATATTATTATTATATTATATATTATATTATATATTATATTATATTATTATTATATTATATATTATATTATTTATTATATATTAATTTCATTATATCTATTTATTTATATATATTATTATATATACATTATATAGTATTATATATATATATATATATATATATATATTATATAATTATTATACGAGCAAGTAAAGAACTTAAATCACAGCGATTTGCTCCACATCAATTCGCGATGACAAGTAAACAATGCAAATTGTTGGAAATTGAAATAGAATCCAGTAAAATGGCAAAAGACATGGAACAATTGTTGATATACAATCCAATAACTATTTCTTCATCCCTAATTTTAATTCACCGTAATTTGTAATTACTGTAATTTATTTTACAATCGCGCTCCGACTTCGATTACGAATGAAATTGTAACTCAATCAAACGTTCATCTGAATTACGAATTACAACGCGACCGAATCGTAACGTAATCGAATTACTTTGTGACTAAAATTTCTCGAGCAATTCGATTGTAATTCTGCAGAACTCTGAACCGAAGTCGGACAAAGTTAGCCTGATACAGAGACGGCCGCGGTCACCTAATTTATGGTGGCTACGAGGGGAGCAGCGTCCTCGTCGAAGGCGGCCGTCCGATCGGCTAAATAACGATCACGCGGAGCTCGTTTCGCCGGGACAGGAGAAAACAACGGGTCCAACGTCCCGTCGAAGAACGCAGTGACCCCGTGATAACGCCCCCGGGTGACGTTCTCAAGATAGAACTCCGCCCGGAAACGGATCATCGGCCGATATTGGGTTCCTTCGATCTTCTTTCGAGCGATCCGAAGGGGGGGGGGGGGTGAGAATGGAATTACGGTGGGCCGCGGTAGGAGATTGGCTCACGGTGCTTTATGAAGTGCTGTATCACCTTCCGTCGAATGGATCCGAGAGAGATTATATCCTCCTTCCCCGGCCTCTCCCCGCCCCGGCCAACCCTAGAAACCCGTCTCGTTGTTCGCCGGGGTGTCGCGTTCGCTCGAAAGTTAAATTGCGGGATTTCTCGCTTGTTGATTATCATCGTGCACGCACCCTTTGAACCTGAACGCTGGAAAATGGAATCCGGGGGGAGGTGGTCGGGTCGGGTCGGAGGTCGTGAAATACGTTATCACGCCGCGTTCGGTTTTAAAGCTCGGCCCCGTTTTTTTCCCCCGGCGGATTTCGCGAACGAACGGCGGATTCGAAATCAATGGGTTTTCGCGCGACAAGGGGTGGGTCCCGGGGTTACACCGCCACCCCCGGACGACTGCGGACGGGGTTCGATCGGTCCAGAGGATTCGGTAGGGTGTTGGGTTTTTATTTCCCCAGCCGAGGTTCTTTTCCTTGCGCAACGGGCCGCGATGAAATGGATTTGCCGGAGCCGTTGCGAGAAATCTTTGCTTGACGAGATACGAGAAGGAGCTCGAAGATACCGGCGTTTCCTTCTGACCGCTGTTTACGCAGCGACGAATTACTGTTTATTGCCGTTTGCGGAGCAGCTGTGAACGTTATCGTCGATAAAAATGATGTCGATTTTGGAAACAGCGGAGCGGAACGATGAAAGCGATTGGTCGCGTTTTTAGCCCTTTGCACTCGAGTGGCGACTTTGAGGCACCACTAAAATTGTTTCAAAATCATTTTTATATTATCAAAGTTTAGATTTCAAAAATTGTTAAAAGTGTAACTGTGTAAATGCACTTTGTTATATAAAATGGAAATACTGTACAAGTTAGAAAAATTATTTTGGATTTATATTTAAAATAGCTTCGAGTGCAAAGGGTTAATATTCGGATTCTGTGTTTCGGCACTTTTATAATGCAACGGAGATTCGAGTAATAAATGATTGAATTTTGAATAATACTACACTTTTCGAACATTTTTAATATACAGTGGCCCACAAAAGTGTTCGTACACCTTTTAAAGCGCAATGCATTTTTCAGAACTGAACTAAATGATCTCAATTTTTTTAGATGATAAAGGGACTAGTCTATTAGAGCTATTAAAGTCTATTAAAGCTAAAAATGGCTAAAGTCTATTAGAGCTTTTATAGTCTATTAAAGCTAAAATGCTTTCTTTTTTTTAATTTTGCTATCACTTGGAATGAAAAGAAAAAATTACCGTACCTAGTACAACGCGAATTTTATGTGCCGCTATCCCACGTTTGTTTTGGCTTTCACAGTTACGATAAAATCGAATGCATCTTGTTAGAATACATGAGAAGAGACGTTGTCACGGATGACTTGGGTATAAGTTCTCCGAATGTCACGGCGCGCGTTATAATTTCAGATAGGCGGATGTATAAACTTGGTTTTCGTTACGAGAAATATCAGATTACGGTCGCGACACGTGACGTTGACAGCCGAGATACGTTAACACCTCGGCGTACCATTTTCTTCACAGTCAAAACGTGTGTTTAGAATTGTTTCGATCGTAATCGTTCTTTAGAAGAAGAAGCAAAAATTTATATTCGTTAAATTTTATTAAATTATTTTTATTGTATTTATAAAACAACGGAATAACTTTCACATACTTAATTAGTTATTACTAGTCTGCGGATTTTATGCATTTATGAAAGAATTGAGTAGCTTAAAATTGAAATAGCACAATTGCAATTTGAAACAGCACAGACATCAAACAATTTTAGAAACGTAAATACATTATTTTTAATTCATTAAAATTATTAAAGAAAGAAAGAAAGAAAGAAAGAACGTTCTATTTCGTTTCTATTTCTTGCAACCGATGCAGACAATTTTTATTATGCATAAAAATCCATAGTCTAGTTGTTGATAAAAAGATCTCCAGACTCCTCAAAATACGGCAAGGAGTACAGAACAGTATAAACAACGAGCTATAAAAATCTGGTCTTCAAGTCTAGCTTTATCCTCGCACAACTCCGTTACAAAAAAAATGATAACAGCCCATTTATATATCCCGTGCATCGCCAAGGAATAAAATAAATCGTCGAAGCGAGTTAAACCGTTTCGGTCCCTCCCTAAAAATTTGCATTCTAACGTGCACTTCGACAAGGATCGATTAATGGCAACGAAGGTAACGGCCGTGGGAGGGTGCAAAGGTTTGAAACAACAGCAGTTTTTCAAAGCAAACGAGGGAAGCCGACGAGTGCTCCGCGTTGGATTCCACCAGCGGGGCGTTCGGCGTGCACTTCTCTTCAAGTTGACGAGCTAAAGGATGCAATTATTCCATTTCGCAGGGTGTCGCGTGGGCTCCCGCGTGTACGAGGAGGGCGAGATGGTCAGGGACATCGAGTGGAAGGCCGCCTGCGACAATTGTTTCTGCGCGATGGGCGCGGTGCGTTGCGTGCCGCTCGCCTGCGCGCCTCCTCTTCAAGGATGCAGCCCCATCGTCCGCGAGGGTCACTGCTGCCCGTCCACCTACAATTGCAGTGAGTCTGTGGATCACGTTGCATCAGGGTTGCCGCGATTTCGCCCCGCCCGACTCGACCGACCGGCTCGCGTTTCTACTTTTCGTTTCCCCCGTTTCGCCTTCAAGAACAACGCATCGCCGCGTAAATACGTCGAACTAAATCACCCTTTGCAATTTATACTTCAAATTTATATTAAAATACAATCTTCAAGGAATTTACTAAGTCATGATACCTTCGAATAATCACTATAAATAGAATCGAGAGTATAGTTACAATAAATGCGTGAGGTTGCCTCTCGAGCCAGATTTTTCGTGCAAGTCCTCTCGATAAATTCTACATATTTTTATGTAAATATAATGTGAAAAATGTTCAAACTGTGAATGTAAAAAAATGTTAGACTGTTCAATGCAGAGTCGCGGTTTCTGAGAGATTTTATATCGTGTCACCGCATTTCTACAGAGTCAAACGCATCAGATATCATAGGATGAACGGTCATCTCTAATTTCGACATTGATTCTGTTAATATTTAGACAAGCAGCACCTTTTTTTGCCGAGCAAAGATTGCTGTTCGATTTGACCGCGGTTTCCCCCGGAGGAATTTCGAGCGAGTTTTAATTCGGGCCACCCAACGAAAACGCTTTCGACGTTAATTGAAAATCTGGCAAGTTTCATTTATCTTCTATTTTTAGGGTAAACACCGTGTCGTCGTTTGTTTCCGTTTTATTGCGAATCCAGCGGAGATACACCTACCTGGTTCTATTTATTTATGAACTGTTTTTCTTGTGTATACCTCTGGGAAAATAGTTTTCGGCGGTCCGGTGCTGAGAATCGTTTATTTTCGTTTATACGCGAGCATTTTCTTTCTCTTTTTTTTTCTTGTTTTCCACACCTAAGATAGAACATTCTTGAGAGTCCAATAACAGTAAATCTTGCACGATCTTATTTAGGGAGGTGTAACAGTGCCGCAGCTTCTATATAAGACTTTAGATAGCTGATAGAAAATTTACCGAACGTATCTTTTCACTTTATTCGACGTTCTGTCCGGTAAACTTCTTTATTTATTTAATTACATTTACCATCGACGTTCTCGCGGCGTGCTTTCATAATGGAGGAGATTCAATGAACTCGGGTTTCGCCTTTAGTTTCCGTTGGTTTTTACGATCTTTTGATGATACTCGCTAACAGCGGAACGAAAGTAGATCTTGATCTATCCCAGTCGCCGCGAAAAAGTGACCGGAAACGCGAGCCGGGTCGGCTACACCATAAAAACCCTGTGCTCTTTCACAACCCTGATTACCACCTAGGTGTTCTAGCCCGAATGCCATAAGAAACTGACAGATTAAACGTTCAAGGCGGTAGCATCGAGGTTAAGGCCACCCAGAACTACGCCTCGTACGCGTTCATCAGCAAGGACTACGCCAAGTTTCGCAAGGAGACCAATTTCTTCGTACGTTTTTCCTCATTTCCTTCGTTTTTCTTCTCTTCGACTTGATATATCATTCCTTCTCATCTATAACAACGCTTTTCGTGCCGTTACGGTATCTAACTATTTCTCTCCGGAGAGACTTTCGCACTTTTTTTCTAAATCATCTGCTCTCAATCTCTATTTTCCGATTAACAATCTCCAAGGAATCTCTTTTGTTCAAAATTAGAGAAGTTCGCAATCTTAGACGATTCGAATGCTCTGTACAGTAATGTCTCCCTAACTGACGCTCAGATTGTGCACAAAAATGGACAATTTTGGAAGAGGAGATACGATTGTTCGAACCTTGCAGCTCGTTTTTGTTGACAGTTGACAGTTCGTAACTATAAAAAAACGAACCGAAAGGCTCGAACAATCGTATCTCCTCTTCCAAAATTGTCCATTTTCGTGCACAATCTGAGCGTCAATTAGGGAGACATTACTGTAATTCGTTGACAGAGTCTGTAATTTATTTCACGAATGCGAAATTAGATTCTTAAAAAATAAACAGCAATAAATATATATATGATATATATAATAATATAAATAATATAATATAATAATAATAAAATAAAAATATAATATATAATATATATAATAATATAAATAATATAATATAATGATAATAAAATAATAATATAATATATAATATATATAATAATATAAATAATATAATATAATAATAATAAAATAATAATATAATATATAATATATATAATAATATAAATAATATAATATAATAATAATAAAATAATAATATAATATATAATATATATAATAATATAAATAATATAATATAATAATAATAAAATAATAATATAATATATAATATATATAATAATATAAATAATATATATATCGCCAGATTCTAGAATTCCTACAAATATCAATAAATAAGAGAAGTAGTTCAAAATTGTTTAAATTACAGTATAATCGACGGAGTGTAATTATCTGTCTCGCGGAAACGGTCGTTGAACATTTAGGAGGAATAAATCTCCGAAAGGGAATTTCTTTGGAAAAAGATACGGAACGAGGCATTCGATAGTATTGAGATATTAACTCGTGTTGCAGCGCCTATGTTTTCGTATTTTCCGATACGCTAACGGAACAGCCAGACCCCGACACCAATAAATTTCGCGTATCCGAGAATATCCGGCAGAAGCGACGTAAAACCGACCGAAAAATCGCGCGCAGAGGGAAAGAGAGCAGCGTAAAACCGAAGGAGGAAAAAATCGGTCTCGCCGTTCGATCCTCATTCGGCTGTCTCGAAATCACTGTTCTCGTATTCCCCGGGCGTTCCCCGTGCAGGTGACACGAAATTTTAACATCCGAAGGATATACCCGTGGCACGTTGCACGAGAAAAATCCTCTTTCTCACGCTGCACAGGATCAAAGCGTATCTTACCGCGGAGATCTACCCATCGATTTCCTTGAAACACGATTTAACGTCGATTCGACAAGCAACAAAGTATCGCAGAATTCACGCGAAAAATGTAGCAAATTATAAAGTAACAATCGTGACATTCTGGATAATGAAACACGAATTTTTCCGCCGGAAGGAATTTTCATTTGGACAATAATTATGCTCGCATTCCTCGTTTAATCTACCGACGAAATTTTCTACGGACTGTCCTCGAAGAAATTATCGCAATTAATTCCGGTGGACTTTTGCTGGAACCGTGGACGATAACGCTACTAAATTATTCCAGTTTATTCGTACAATTGTTAATTCGATTAATCGGTTCAAACTCGAGATACGGATTTACTGAAATATCCGCCGCGGGGAATTTTCATACGAAAAATAATCGTGCTCGCATTCCTTCTACAATCGTAGCTCTCTTAATTTTCCACGAACTATCCGTCGCGAAATTGTCTAAATTAATTTGCAAATCGATTTCTGCAGCAACGACGACGGTTCGAAAACACCGTTTCTCAAAGTTGTATCCCCGATAACAAATATTCCGCGGCGCATCATTTCCGCTCCGCGAACTCGCCGGGGCCTCGGTTAAGAGTTGATCGAGCCTGGCCGGCGTGTAGCATCGTGTCCCGAAGTTGATAACAGTGCCGCGGATATTAAACGTTTTCAATAACGGGCCGGCAAAACCGCTGGAATAAACGGTCCTGTAATTGTTTCGAGCAGTTCGGGGCACCCACCCCCCGTCGACAGGCGGCGTAACAGGCACGACTGTCCAATTCGAAGCCGAAGTCACTGACGAGGAATGCTTCACTTCGCGTTCCCAGATTAACTAAGTTAAACGTCTAACCGGCGCGACGCAGCGTCCGTTCCGGCAGGATTGCATTAATTAAATTCCATTCGGGTTGTAAATCACGTGGCTTCGCCGGGGACGAACTCTTGCATCGATGACGATAGCGCGACCGTCCTCCTCTCCTCGTTCTTACGCTGTCAATGGCGCATTAAACGCCGTTGCCTCTGCCTCGAAATAGAATTCCCTCACCCTCCCCTCCCCCCCTCTCGCCCCTTCGAGTCTCTTGAAGTACGTAATCCATCTTGGGGGACCTTTGATATTTCGTTTCAATGAAATTCGATTAGAAATCAGTCGCAATTTGCCCCGGAGCAACCGTGCAGAATTTTAGTTCCCTTTACTTTCGCGTTCCCCTTTAAAGTCCCTTTTGCCGGATCAGGTATAACCATTCAGTTGGCTTGCTGTTAACCCGCTGAAAGTAACTGTTCTGCATTGCTTTATAGAAATATCGATGTTCCGGTGTAATATGCGCGCGATGGGAAGGAAGTTGTTCGAGCGGAGAAATCAAAATACAGGAGCAAATCGAACGATTTCGCGTTCGTAATTTTAGAAATTCTTTGGGGTTATATGATTCGACCATTCAGATCGCGTTGCTGCAATTACTGTAGCGACGATGCCGTCTCTCTATTGTTACCTCTCTTGTCTTTCGAATGCTAATTCGTAGCAGTAGCTTCCATTGTTAACTTCGTTCGCAATAATAGGCACATAATAATGGAACTGCGGCATGAAACGATAAAAATAAATAAGATAATATACAACCCCAAAAATGTCTCGTAATCCGGAAATGGCGGGTACCTCGGATCATTTGAAGCAACTTCTTCCTTTACAAAAATGTTCTCCGAGGCACCGTTAACGAGTTATCGACGAAAAACAGTGACCAATAAGAACCGAGTACGGCCGACGCGAGGCGGCCCGGCCAATCAGCGCACTAAGCCCAGTTCCGCTCATTGGCTCGGTCACCTCGCGCCAGCCGAGCTCGCCTCTCATTGGTCACTGTTTTTCGTTAATAACTCGTTAACGGTGCCTCGGAGAACATTTTTGTAAAGCAAAAAGTTGCTTCGAATGACCTGAGGAACCCGCCACTTTCGGATTGCGAGACATTTTTGGGACACCCTGTATATAAAACTCTGTGGATATATTAAAATTGACACATGAACGTGGCTAGAGAATGTATCTCGCTTTTTCTGTATGTATCTCCTTATTCAACGTTATTCTCTACGTTGCAACAAAGACGTTCCAACATCTTGCAATTTTCTATTTGCGATTATCGAGCTTCCGTTCGTCGTTCTCGCGAACATCGCGCAGAAGTGAGATTCTTGAACGATGCACAGACGGACAATTTTCTGCGTAGCCGATAGTGGAGCAAATAACGAGCCCGCCGGTGGAGGGACGAGGTCATCGAGTAGTCGAGGAAAGGATCGATTCGAGCACGACCGTGCGCGAGGAATCGTCCTCGATCCCGACCGATTCCACGTCCTGGCCGTCCACGTTCGAGACGGACATCATGGACAACGAGATTCTGGTCGAGACGGTGGACTACGTGAAATCCAGCCCGGAATTCGCCACGACGACGCCGGCCAGCCCTGAAGAGGTAATCCCCCATCGTCGGAGAAATTTCGGACGACTTTCAAGTTCCTTTTCGCGGGCTTTATCCGGTCTCTCGAAGCTGATATTCTCGTTGATCCCGTTCTTTCCGAGCATCGGTGTATTTAATCGCAATGTTTATTCGCCGAGGATTTTTATTCGGCTGCTCGCGTCCCGTCGTTACACTCCACGGATGGGACTGTAAAACTGTGCCAGAAGATGTGCGAAACCGTAAAAATGTGACCAGAAATTGCAAAGCACCGGTTACTCCGCGGAAAAGGTCGTTTCGAACATGGGATAGCTGTGTTTTTATACGGTCTCAATTTTGCCGGAGAAATTTTACTCCCGCCGTCACCCTCCCCCCGCCCCCTGCCGTCTATGATTGCGAAAATATTCAAGCTGGAAATTTTTATTGGTTTGATATGTTTACTTTTATTCGTCATATGCACGCGGTGCTTTCGTTTCCCACGCGGGGAACGCCGTCACGCGTGCACGTAACAATCGCGGCAACTCCGTCGTTGATGTTGGAACGGAAAAATATATATTTTCGGTTTTCATTGAACGCACGGTCCTGAAAGCGGGAGCCGCCTAACGAATCGCCGGAGAAGCGTTTTCTGTGTTTGCGCGTCGGAAAGATATGGAAACATCGTTCAGAGGAACTCGATTCGGATCCATTACGCTTTCCAAGCTAAAACGGTCCAGAGTTTAACTAAAACGCGAGGAAATATACGCGAATAGGATGATCAGTGTTCAAAGAAATTCAACTCGAATTCATGGCTTTATTAACTCTCGTTTCTTAACAGTCCAGTAAAGTCTGTTGTTTGGAAACGTGCGAGCATTGCTCTGATTTGTTCATTCAATTAACAGATGATTGACTGGAGGATTTTTATAGAAACCGACACAGTCGGCGATTTTTTCTAAAAAATGAATGAAACAGAATCCGCGCGTTATTGAATTTAAACAACTTCTCCGCAAGATATTTATTTGAAACTTTGTGCATATGTTTCCAAAGTATTCTGATTTAATTTTTAATCATGGACGATTTTTGTAGAAACCGACAAACGTAGCCGGCGATTTTTCCTAAAAAATGAATGAAAAAGAATTCGCGTGTGATTTAATATAAACAACTTTTCCATCGCACAAGATATTTGTTTGAAACTTTGTGCATATGTTTCCAAAGTATTCTGATATTGTTCAAGAGTATGATGAAATAAAAAATAAAAAAGGAAAGAATCGAAAAATTAAAAAAATTAAAAATTAAAAAGAAATTAGGAAAATGAGAAATGATAATGGAAAAATTAAAAGGATTTAACAATGCCGATGTTCGCGGACTATTAAAACGATTGAAGAAGAAACGCAAAGCTGCCGAACATTTTTACTCCGCGTATCGATCCGCGGCCGATTCATTTGCGAATTGGTATCAAAAGACGTCATGAGCCGTCTTCGGTCATCCTTTCAATCTCCCGTGCGACTACAGTAATGTCTCTCTAATTGACGCTCAGATTGCGCACAAAAATGGACAATTTGGGAAGAGGCGATCCGATTATTCGAGCCTTGCGGTTCGTTATTATACTTACGAATTGTCAACGATTATAGAAAACGAGCTGCAAGGCTCGAATAATCGTATCCCCTCTTCCCTAATTGTCCATTTTTCTGGACAATCTGAGCGTCAATTAGAGAGACATCACTGTATTTCTCAGCTGTATCGACGTCCGCGGTCGAATGAATATTTTCCGACGCGAGAAAAGCCATGTTGCACACACAATCGTCGCATTGCAGTCGACAACGAGTGCCGAATCGACGACCTTGGAGTCGACGTTGGCCAGTAAAGAGGACGAGGATCCGTCGAACGACCCGACGACGACAGCGACGACGACGTTCTCAACGAGCGGCGCCGAGGGATCGACGATCACCGTGATCGAGGATCTCTCGTCCGTGGCGGACACAGCGACGGAATCGACAACTCTGTTACCAGAAGCGACCGGAAACGATACGGTGACGGAGGACTGGAGGAGAATAAACGTGACTCTGTGGAACAGGGACACGATCCACTCGAATGCGACGAGCGCAGCGTTCAAAGAAGAGTTCGTGCACGGGAACGCCACGGTGAGCCTGCGAATATGCTGTTGAAATATCATTTGCGGCTAAGTGAATTGCAAAACAGCCAATTCAGCCGTCCCTGTAACATAGATATAGATATTCACTCGACGCGGAAAATGGTTCATTCGTTTTTACAATTCTAAGGTGCTCGAATCCTGTTTTCGCAATGCATTCAGCTCCGTAAAAGGAAAAGCATCGATCGAATTTTCGTTTGCTTATTCAAGAAATTCGACAAACACGCACGTTTCTATCGAATAAAATGAACGATCACATTTAATTTCGTTCATGCCCGCGTAATTTACTTAAAACCGTACAAGGCTTTACTGTTTCGAAAAATGAAACGCGCGTTCGGATGACTGAAAGTCGTGCGCGAAGCTTGATTAAACATCGTCACGCGATTGATGTATGGTCGAAATTTTTAATTCTTCGCGTGTGGGTTGTTATTCGCGGGTATTCTATTCACCGGGTAAAAGCGGCGAATTCGGAATCCCTTTTAAAAATATGGATACGTACACGTATAAACGTGAAAAGAATTTATTCGTACTGATGCGCCAGCGTGTTCCGTTGGACCGCTGTCTAGAGGAGCGAGCTAGAGAATTAATCACTGATGAAAATCTACCGAATGATACTTTTCGGCTCCTCCTCGTCCGTGGAAGCTTCATTTTTCGTGATCAGTTAACACAAATGCGAGGTGAAAAAAGTTGGCCGCGCCGTTAGACAGCGGATTTTACCCCGAACGAGAAAATATTTGGAGATACGCGGTAATTGGATGGGTATACGTATAGAACGGTTCCATTCGTCTGATCGACGAGGAAATTATTTGATAGTATTATTCAAAAAAATTTCGTTTCGTCAGATTTCGTTGCGGATTCGGAAATATATGAAATCTCGAATTTCAGTTGTTGTTGTACGGGATGTCCCAAAATTATGGTTTTTCCGGAAAATGAGGAGTTCCCGAGGTGATTCGAAGCAATTTTTTCCTTTACAAAAATTTTCTCCGAGGCATCGTTTACGAGTTATCGACGAAAAACAATGACCAATGAGGGGCGAGCTCGCCTGGCGCTAGGCGGCCGAGCCAATGAGCGGAACTGGGCTTCGTGCGCTTGTTGGCTGGACCGCTTCGCGCCAACTGAGCTCGTGTCTCATTGGTCAGTGTTTTTCGTTAATAACTCGTTAACGGTGCCTCGGAGAACATTTTTGTAAAGGAAAAAGTTGTTTCGAATGACCTCAGTAATCTCCAATTTCCTGGAATTACCATAATTTTGGGACATGTATATTGCAAGGGGTACAAGAAAATTTGAAATAAGAGAACGTTGGAAATAGTTATTGAACTGTTCGGATAAGATTAATAAAAGATTCTCTCGATATAGATTTTACGCAAGAGAAATTGTTAATTTCGAAGGTACAATTAACTATCAGCAGTTTCGTCGTGTTGCAAAGAATTAACGAACCATCGAAATTATACAAAAAAAATCGCGAAGCAACTTGCTTCACGTGTAGGAGAACATTTTCAATTCAGACAAATTTTTGGAACATATTTTATTTTTGGAACGCTTTCACGATTCCGATAGCAAAAGAAAGAATCGGAAATAAAAATCTCTTTGACCAATCCGGTAGTTCCATCGTGAAAATAAGTCACGCTGCTAGAGCTGTACGCGGTGTACAATAATTTCTCCCTAATTCGCGCTCGGATCGCGCGCAAAAATGGACAATTTGGGAAGAGGAGATACGATTATACGAGCCTCGCGTCTCGTTTTCATAGTCCTTGACAATCGCTGACAATAAATAATTACTCGAATCGAACGATCGTATCTCCTGTTCCCAAAACGTCGATTTTTGCGCGCGACCCGAGCGCGAATTAGGGAGAAATTCCATGTGCTGTGTCAATTCCGAAGCGATCTTCGAAGGACGCTTGCGAATAAACAGTATCCATAAATGAAACCGCCGAGGGATCGATACGAGCGTGAATCAGTGTCAAGGAGGGGAACGGCGTCGCTGTCGGGGAAATTAACAGTGTGGGGACCTGTTGCGATTAGATGGAGCCGGCCGAGGCAACGCAGTCCATAGGCAAAGGGACGGTCAACAAACCGTCATCCACCGTGCTAATGCCGGATGACATTCTGGTGATGAACGTTACCGTGAAAACGAACGTCTCGGTGGGTCATATTCAGGGTGTCACGATAAACCCGATTAGGTCAATACCGCCGGACGTCGAGGCCATACTGAACATTACTCCGAAGGACAAGGGGGTCGACTACGTTTACGATTACAGCGAACCCACGTTGCCGCCCTCGCTACCGAATGTCAGGTAAGGTAAATACCAAACCCCTGCGTGCCTCCGAACTCACGGAGATCCATGAATCATAAACGACCCGGGATGTTCCTAGTCGGGGAGACTCGGGAGGGTCTCCATACATCCTTCGGAACAAAGATCGGGTAGACGATGCTAGATAAGATTTTAATGATCTCTTCGCACGTTTCGAGTCCGTGTTATGTTTTCGAAGGAAAATGAACTTGCAGATTTTGAACTTGAGTAAAGAAAATATTTAGAAAATTAAGTTTTCAATGCTTAGAGGTTAGGTTTTAACCCTTTGCACTAGAGACTATTTTAACGCGAGAATGAAGACGTTTGTTTCAACCTACAGTATTTCTATTTGGTATGATTGTTTTTATTTGATACATGTGAAATAGAATTTAAATAAAAATAGTATAAGTTGTACTATAAGTATATAAGTATAGTATAGTACTATATATATAGTACTATAAGTATAGTATAAGTTATTATATATATATATTTACTTATACTGTAAGTTATTGCTTCTATTATTTGACGATGTATCAAAATTTTAATAACGTGGAAATCCTTTTGGAAGCCGGTCGAGTGCAAAGGGTTGAGATGAGAATGTTTGGCTGCATGTAGTTATTTATTACTAGACTGCGGGTCTTTGTGCATAATAAAAATTGTTTGCGTCAATTGTGAAAAAGCAATAGTCAGAAGTTTTTTTTATTCCTTTAGCGATTTTAATAAGTTGGAAATAATGCACTGATATTTCTAAAATCCTTTAATCTCACTATTGTTCCATGTTGTTCTTCTTCTGCATATTTTTGTCATAAATACATGAAATCCGCAGACTAGTTATTACCTCTTTTGAACATATTTTTAGTAGTAAATTATCTAGATTCATTGATTACCAAATTGCATTCCATTGCACAGTCCTTTCTTATTGAAGTCAATCACCAGGGGTAGCTGCATCAAAGATTCTGGTATAATGTTTCATTTTTTAATTTACATATTTAACCCTTGTACACTCTGTTCAAGAGTTCGGGACATTTATATTTTCCAAATCAAATTCGATCACATGTTGTTGCATTTCTTGACACTACTTTTGAAAGAAACACATTCTACGATATGAACAGAAAGATATAAAAAGTTATTCGGTAATTAAAAACAGAAATGGTTGGAAATTATGTACAGACATTTGTTGCAGATTTAAAAGAACTAGTTTCAAAAAACAGAAATTATTGAAAATTATGCACATAAATTTGTTACAGATTTAAAAGAACTAGTTCCAAAAAACAGAAATGATTGAAAATTATGTACAGAAATATTGTTATAAAATCTAGTTCTACAGCGAACCGTAGACGTTTATGCACATTTACGCTACGTTTAATCTACGATTTCATAATAGAAAGACCGAAAGAATTTACATTCGCATTTCGACTTTGTTCCTCCATCGAACACCCCGGGGAACCTACAAATACATAAACATCCGCAGCCCGCTAAATAATCCACTCCCATTTCCCTAACGCGTTGCGCACAGAAAATCATAAATTCCCATGCAAAAAGGGGACAGGCTCTCGTCCTTTGTATCCCAGAGAAGTCCCTTGTCGAGGACACACTCCTCGCCCCGCTAAAACCCTCCAGCCTGTTCATCCCTCGTCCTCGACCGGTGTCACTGGCAACCCCTAGTCCCCGCAATCAGTCCGCCGGCATCTCATAAAAAATTATTTTCCTGGAGAAACGAGTCTGCCGTCGAAAACACCCCTAAATCTTGGCCCCGCCGTGACACTCGAAACTCTTCATCCCCCGTAATTCCGGCGGGGGCGAACAAGCGCCGCGCGGTGCGCGAAAGAATTTATTTCACTGGAGAGTCCTTCGTTCCCCTCCCGACGCCTTCATCAACCCCCAAAATTTTCTACCCCCTCTATCTCTCTGTATATGTTTCTCTCTTTCGCTCTCGCTATTTTCTTTTTTCTTTCTTTCTCTGTCCCTTGTTTCTCTGTCTATCCTCCGGTCGATCGGCGCATACATAAGTAAACGGGGGAACGGGCGACGGAGGATCGACGGAGAGACGCGATTCCAAGCAGAATAAGAGGATGGATGTGATTCCGCGTTTCACGTAGGATAATTCCGTTCGTGGCGGCGGACGCGCTGGTGAAAGACAAGACAGTTCCGTCGCCTGTCACCGGATACCCTTCCGGCTCGGTGGTCGTGCCCCTGGAATTGCGACCGACTGACACCTCCGGATTTTACGATATCGCCACGCAGGAGAACAGATTTAGCCCGCCCGTCGAGACCGAAGGTAGGTTATATACCTTTAGGGATCCCCGGTGAAAAGTACCGCGCCCTTTCACAGCGCGACCATTAGCACCTCCGCAAACGCGTCGCTTGCGCAGCTAGTGACGAATCAAGTGTTACGAGCTTTCACGGAACGAGAGCGAAGCTATTCGCTCTCGTTCCGAGATAAATTGCGCTGGGATTACGATTAGGCTAGTATAGTAAATTCTTACCAATCTTCCGTTAGCTTGTAAACAAAAATGGACGATTTGGGGAGAGGGGATACGATTGTTCGAGGCTCGCGGCTCATTTTTATAGGTTCAGATTGTCAACTATTATAAATGTAATCTTATTTTAATAATTAATATCAATTCTATTAACATTACTGAATGAAATAATTTAACAAAAAGAAAGCCTATTGATTAATATTAATCCTGTTAATGTCAATCTTATTAATATTAATCAAAATAGTGTCAGTCATACTAATAGTAATCCAATTAATGCCAATTCTATTAATATTAACCCCGTTAATACTGATTCAATTAATGCCAATCCTATTAGTATCAATCCTATTAATATTAATCCAATTAATGCCAATCCTATAAGTATCAATCCTATTAACATTAATCAAATTAATGCCAATCGTATTAATATTAATCCAATTAATGCCAATCCTATTAATATCAAACCCATTAATATTAATCCAATTAATGTCAATCCTATTAATATTAATCCCATTAATATTAATCCAATTAATATCAATCCCATTAATATTAACCCCGTTAATATCAATCCTATTAATGTTAATCGTGTTAATGTCAATCCTATTCATGTTAATCCTATTAATCTCAATCCTATTAATCTCAATCCTATTAATGTTAATCCTATTAATATCAATCCTATTAGTGTTAATCCTATTATTAATTAATGTAATACAATTATAAATCTGTCGCCTCTTCCAAAATGGTCCATTTCTATTTGCAAACTGAAGGAAAATTAGGGAGAATTTACTGTATTAACCTTCTGGTGTCGTGATCACTCTAATCAAACCAAATAGCATTTCCATAAATTATTCTTTTTATTTGTCATCTTCGTCGTAATCTAAGAAAACAGCTCGTCGCTATTTTATTTGGCAAACCTTCCATAATGCAACAGAGATCTGATCTTTTCATGGAATTTCTTGGTAAAATTATTTGTTGTGACTCTGATGTCGATAAAAAAGATTGTACTAGGGACGCGAACGTCGTGTGACGCTACGGTTGCGTCATCGGATCACGAACGTGATAAACTGCTCTGAACGCCTGCAACTTTGCGTAACAAAATCGTAGAACGTTCCAGCCGAGCACATATTAAAGCCTGAAGAATCTACTTTGACACCTTTGTACTGCATTTCTTTGAAGGAATATTTATTATCATAATAAATGGAATGAAAAGCTGCAGTTGCTTTTCTCAGTTCGACTTTTTATAATACGAATTTGGAAGACTTTGTCGACTTGAAAAAAAATGTTTCCACATTCTTTTGAATGCGACTTTACAGCGTTCCTCTCAAAAGTCGATCCACGACTTTGTCATCACGATTTTGTTGTTATTTAAACAGAAAAGCATCGCGTACTTTAATAAGCGTATTAATGATCGTACTATTAATAATCGTCGAAATGATCGCGATCAACAATCGTGTCCACGATTCCGATCGATTATTCTCTGCCTCGAATAGAAAAATTTATGCTCGAATCGATTGTTTCCTTATTTCCATTCTATCGTTGAACGTCCCGACGATTAAACGTCAGCCCCTTCCGTCCCTCGTTTTTGTCTTTGTTTTTGCCGCGACACTCCCCGTCCCCGCCCCCTTGCTCGCAGTTTGCGGAAATTCATTTCGCAAAATTGGAAAGGTCCCAGCTGCTGCCCGCGGACACCAGTCGCGTTTTTGACACGGACGCGTATCGCGAGGCTGACGTTATAAAATTTCGAGTCGCAGGCGATCGGCGTGACGCTGACGCGCATTCATTTCGCGAAACCGTGCCCCGCTCGGCGTGGTTGTGCCGCTGTGAACCCGTCGCGACGGGGCTGACAGTTCCTCTTCCTCTTTTTTTTTTTTTTATTTATTTATTTCACTGCGGAATCCCGTGGATTTATCTAATTTATGAATTATACCGCTGTCGGATTTTTCGGAATGTTTTCGCGTCGCGTCGCGTCGCTTTCACGTGTTCGGGAACTGTAGATTCCTGCGTGTCTGATTTCTGTTCACAGATTCGCGAACATTTAGCAGCGCGTAATGCGTGCATTTACAATTTACAGCAAACGGCGGAGTGGTTCTCGTTTCGAAATGGCCGATGGGTTTCGGACAATAAAGGATTCAGGATTTATTTTGTGTTCGCTAAATGGAATATTTTATTACAGTGTACAGTATGCATGTTCTAGAAAGGACGAGAAATCTTGTAATTTTTTAATGCTAATCGTTGGACTAATGATAATGTTGGACAACAAATTTAAGAGAAGCGAATATATTAGGTCTACCGGAAAGTTCTGTCCGATAGTGTCACTTCAAGTTTCAATCTATATGCACATATCTTTTTAGATCGCATTAATTTGAGTAGAATGCAGTGAGAAACATTCGAGCACAGTGACTAGTTGCATAGAAATCTGCATACGCAGAGATCGGTCACCATCCGACTTCGAAAGAAAAATTCCAAAAAGTATATGTATGCCAAAAGTATACGTTTCCACCTTCGAACCTCATTAATTTGACTAGACTACGTGCAACAAAAATTCGAGCACTGTATAGAGGAGCCGATTACTGTGTGATTACAATTGCTTTGTTTGCTTTGCAATTGCAATTTGCTTGCAATTGCTTCCGCTTTGTTTTCGGGCATAAACGACTTCGTATTCGTCGAATAAGACATAATAAACATTTTATTCTTTTATCGCGTTTATTTTCGAATAAAAAGATTTGAAATGTGTTATTCGATAAATATTAGGTCTACCGGAAAGTTCTATCCGATAGTGTCACTTCAAGTTTCAATCCATATGCACATATCGATTTGAGACATATATGACTATCTCTCTTTATCATTGCATTAACACACATGTACTCTCCTAAATAAACTGAAACAAAGATGTCTCATGTCATTATTAAGCGAGACGCGATCGTGAAAACATGGCTACCGATGATAATGCCAGACCACATGCTGCTTCGGCGACTCGTCAGAAAATCGCAGAGCTAGGCTGGCAAATTCTGTCGCATCCACCATACTCCCCAGACCTAGCACCCTCCGATTATCGCTTGTTTCTCTCTTTGCAAAGCTTTTTACAGGAAAAAGAAATTCAAAACTGAAGCTGATGTCAACCAAGCACTGGTTGAGTTCTTCGCCTCTAAAAATAAATCATTTTTTCAAAATGGCATTTACAAGTTGCCATCACGCTGGCAAGAAGTCATAAGTAACGATGGAAAGTATGTTCTACAATAAATATTATTAAATGTATGAAAATTGTGTTATATCTCAATTAAAAAACGGACAGAACTTTCCGGTAGACCTAATATATTGTAGTAATACACAGGGTGTCGTGTAACTGTCATTCTACGTCAAAAAATAAGTCGGAGGAAAAGAATAACATTCTTTTATGAGAAAAGTATTATTTTTTTCAACCTACATTTTCTCAAAAACAGAGCCTCGAATGGAAAGAAATTTATCCTAGACTCTCGACTGATTTTTCGACGCTGATTTTGACCCTGTATTAATGCTGTTTTGCTATCAAAAATTTCGCACGATTTTACCAATTATTTTGTTGCAGTGTAATAAATTTATTTAAAAAAAGTGTATTTAGTTGATCGTCGTTTCGATTAACAATTGGATGGCGAATAGGTTCGACGGTCAGTTTCTTGCTGCTGAAACAATCTTTCTGTCGCAAGGTGGATTCGTGCCGCGTGAGCCGCCGTATTTCGACGCCCCTTATCATTCCACCGATTTGAATCTGGAAATTGGAACTGGCGTCACCGTGGTTCCCGCGCCAATCACGAATCCGCATCGTAAAAGTGACGGTAACGGATCTCCCCCTTTTTTTCTGTTCTGTATTTTCTTTTTTCATAAACCTATAAAACATTTTCTCCGATTTTATGTTTCCGTCGTTCGCTTTATTACACCGTTATTTATTACAACACATCTTCCTGTATCTATTACAATACAAATCAGCACTTTTGCTGTATCTATTACAATATAAATCAGCACTTTCGTGTATCTATTGCAATATAAATCGACGCTTTCGTATATTCACTACGTCTTTGCCGCGCTGCGTCGGTACACCGATGCATTCCGCGTTATATTACACTGTTTTATACATTACATTTACATGCAACACGGCGTACACATTTTATATCACTCCGTGTTCCCGGTGTTCATTTCTATGCATGATATTCTGTTCTATTTTCTTCTACGAATCATTCTCGACTTCAGCTCGAAGAGACACACTGTTTCTGTTTCACGAAACCCCAGTCAGCAACTGCCTCTTCGAGAACATGGAGCACCGGCACGGCGAAATTTTACCCAGCAGCAGCATCTGCGTGATCTGCATGTGCTACTACGGCGAGGTGGTGTGCTCCTCGGAGAAGTGTCCTCCTTTGAAGATCGGCTGTCGACGGATCAACACCGACAAGACCTGCTGCGGAAGAATCGTCTGCGGTACGGTAAAACCGACTGATTCGCCACGAAACGATCGATTATTCCCTTGGCACACGAAGAAGCATATTTAAGCAACAATTCCCATTAACAGAGACAGTAATAATTCGCGCGAAAGAAAACGTATAATTTTGCAAAACGAAAAGCGGGCACGGTAAAATCTCCCTAATTTTCCTTCAGCAAAGAAAAACAGATTATTCTGCAATTATATGGAGTTATATTATATTTTGGATTATTGTGCAATTATTCGAGCCTCGCTGCTCATTTTTACCTATTGTTGACAATTAGAAAAGGCTCGAATAATCGTATCTCCTCTTCCGAAATTGTCCATTTTTGTTTACAAGCTGAAGGAAAATTAGGGAGAATTTACTGTGCTCAATTGGAAGATCTGCAAGATTGCCAATTATTTGAATTCTAAATTGTTTTAAAACTATGCAAACTGATTTGATAACATAGCTCGATTACCTCTAAATTTTCTCTTGCTTTTAAACGTGAGAAAACATTGAGATAACCTTGAGAAACGATTTTTCTCGAGTTCGCGAACATCAAGATTTCACGATGTTCTGACAAAGATGTTCTGCAAAGTTTATGACATTATATCATTGGATCGATCTTGACTTCGGATATCGAACACGAAAGAGCATCGATGACATTGACATCCGAATATGAAAAAATCCGCTAAAAATATGTCTATGAAAAATCTCTTACCATAAACCTCGCCTCTTCGAACGAGACGTTCTCCATCAGCAATGTCCCCTATCGTCAGAATCAAACGGAACATTTAACCGATCGATTTACCTCGTTGATCCCGTATTACATTAAAAAAAAGAAAAGAAAAAGAAGCTTAAAGAAGATTAAATTTCTGAAACGGACAGGCGGAATTATCCGAGATCTCCCGTGTCTCCGCATAACCATCGTTAACTCTTCCAGTGGAGGCGGACGAGTCCCCGACGCTGGTGCTGGACCGTGCGGACGCGACGGCGCCGTCGCTGCACCAGCCGATAGTGTCGCCGGATCCATTCCGGGACGTGATCAAGACCGAGCCGGCCCCGGATCTGCCGTCGCTGATCGAGGACATGCTGCCGTACCTGGTCGAGCACGGAATCACCACGCCGAGACCGAGCAGCAGCAGCACGACCCTAAATCCTCTGCAGACCCAGGGATCGAATCACCTCCAGCAGTCGTTCAGCTTCGACTACATAGACAAGCTGACGCTGATCCGTCCTCCGTACGACTACAGGCCAGAGGAGACAGGAGGAGGAGGAGACAGGCTAACGGGGAACACGAAGTACGTCGTGAACCAGGACAATCATCTGAAGGAGCCTATCCCGGCCGGCTATCCGAAAGACAGCGAGCCGGACCACGAGAAAGTCGGCGTCGAGAGAGTCGAGTACGAGAAGATCGGCTCATCGGTCGCGGAACAATCTACCAAGCTGCCGGAGGATCGCTCTAAGAACCTCACCGATCCTAACTCGAGCCTCGATCTCGTTAAGTCGAACAGTTCGAAGAGCGACGACACCCAGGCGGGATCGAAGCCGGACGATTCACCGTCGCAGAAAGGGGACTCCAAGGTTCATCCGGCCACCTTGAAGAGCCCCGAAGCTACGCCGTTGCCGGAGGAGCCGATCTTCTCTCTGGACAGCGTCCTCGATCTGCTGTTCTCGAGCAACAACGAGGCCAGCACCGAAAGCTCCGAGGCTCCTACAGCTGTAACAAGCAGGTCCGCGGCGCAGTCGAGCACAACAACAAGGCCGTCGGAGGACAGCGGAGGGCCGGCCACGGAGACCGGAACATCCTCGAAGATCCTGGAGAACGAGATCCCCGCCTCGGTGGCCAGTTTGCTGAAGTTGGCCGGATGTAATATTTACGGGAGGATGTACCGTGTCGGCAGGATCATCACCGAGCTGTCCGGACCCTGTCTAGAGTGCAGGTGCACGGAGATCGGTGTCCAGTGCAAGCAGCTGCAGTGTTGATTGCGGGCTGCCGAGTTGGCGAGGTTGTCTTTCTTTCTCTCGTCCCGCGGCGAGATTGGGGAACGGATTGATGCATTCACTGCTGTTTGACACTCGTTCGACGGCCGAGCCGAGCTTCATGGGGATCCGGCTTTATCGAAGGTCCGGTCAGGATCGCTGTTCTTTGACCCTCCGGAAACTAGATTGCGGGTTTTTATAGCGGTTGCGAAGTACAAAACGCGGTAAGCTGCGGTATACAGTGAACGCCGGTGTTCGCTGGAACTTGAAAGGGCTTTCTCGGCTGAATGTGACGGTGGAATTTTTAATGGAAGAGGAGAGCTAGTTTCGCGAAACGGTTCAGAGAAAATAATTCGATCGTGGAAAGTTCGAAAGATTGCGATTCGCAGGGAATTATTGGATCGCGGGTCTACGCGGGCAAACGCGTGCGGACACCTTCTAAAAAGGGATTACATTTTTCTGATTAGACCTGACGAGTTGAATTATTTTAAGGTTTCTTTTTAGCAGACGATGCGCGACAAAATTATTGCAAAAATTGCGATTAGGTGGCGCGACAACAAAATTTTGTTGAATCAAGTTTTTCTGACTGTTTTATCCGAGCATGTAACGATAATTCGAATGTTCTGCAGCAATCGGAATGAACCGGAATTAAGTGGAGATTTCATTCTTTTTCAAATCGTCTTGATAAACTAAAAATTCTTCGTACTTAAATAAATACGTTTCTATTCAGGTAGAATTCTATTTGATAGAAATTTGAATTTTCACGAAAATCCGCAAGTTATTTTCGGAACAACGATATATTGTGATCGTCTCAAAGTAACAAGATCGATCGTTTCGCTGTTAATCGGTCAATTAAATTGGGTCTCTCTTTCTCTTGGTCAGATCTTCGACGTCCGAGTGTTAATCACAGTTTTACTCTAATTGGTAATTAACATGGAACTGCCTAAACCGGAAGACTGAAAAATCGAATCGAGATCGTTGACTTACCTTTTTCACATCTTTTTCTTTTTTTTTTTACGTTCGTTAACTGTACTTTGTTTCCTTTTTTCTTTCTTTCTAGAGACACGAGCAGTGAATACGTTGATTCGTTAGTGTCAGGCGCTCCTTCGTGGCTCTCACTTTCATTTAGCGATTAGGTGATCGGGGAGAACGCCGCCACGGTTGAACGAAGTTTCACGTAATTATAAATCCATTGTGATCCGTATGATGTGGCGTCGATTGATCCAACGGTGGCACGACTAGCGACGATATTGTTAAAAACGAATCGGTATCAACAGAACGTAACAGAATTTGTAGCTTAGGGTTTTCGCCCGATAATCGACGTACTGCCATACGTTTCAAGTATGTGCAAAATTTGTTAAATTAAACGATCTCTTGTAGTCTCGATGAGAAGGCTCATTAACCCCTTGCATTATGTGAGTCAGACTTGTCGTCACGATTTCGCAAATAATCCACTGAATAAAAATTTTATTAAAATCCATGAATGAAAGTAAATTGAAAGTAAATAGAATAGAAGTAAGTGAATATAATTCAATTAATGAATAGAAGTGAATAGAATATAATTCAATTAATGAATAGAAGTGAATAGAATATAATTCAATTAATGAATAGAAGTGAATAGAATATAATTCAATTAATGAATAGAAGTGGATAGAGAATATAATTCAATTAATGAACAGAAATGAATAGAATATAATTCAATTAATGAATCGAAGTGAATAGAATATAATTCAATTAATGAACAGAAATGAATAGAATATAATTCAATTAATGAACAGAAATGAATAGAATATAATTCAATTAATGAATCGAAGTGAATAGAATATAATTCAATTAATGAACAGAAATGAATAGAATATAATTCAATTAATGAATAGAAGTGAATAGAATATAATTCAATTAATGAATAGAAGTGAATAGAATATAATTCAATTAATGGATCGAAGAGTGAATAGAATATAATCCAATTAATGAACAGACGTGAATAGAATATAACCCAATTAATGAACAGAAGTGAATAGAATAATCCAATTAATGAACAAAAAAAAGTAAATATAATATAATTCAATTAATGAACGAATCTATTACATAGTTGATCAAGGAAATCGAAGTGCTAATTAACGTAGCTTCAAGACAGATCCTTGTGCAAGGGGTTAAAGTGTCTGATCATTTTCACGAGCTGCCGATTCCAAACTTCTTTCGGAGTCTTCGAGCAAAACATACAAAAATTTCGTGCGACGTTTACTTGTTCGCGAACTGCACGATTGCACTTTCCGGGCGTGTAATCATAGGCTAAATCGCGGAAAAAGCAGTTCTTCGAGACTACAGTTGGAGGGTGGCCGTCTGAGCCGACCTGTCCGCGTTTCCGGTTCCTGATATTCGGTGGATCCGTGTAGAAGCGATCCGAATTAACCGGAAACTCGAGCGGAGCTCTGAATACTAATGCAATTAATTCCCATCGGAAAGTTTCTCTCTCCGTCTCTCTCTCTCTCTTTTTCTCTCTTTGCCAGCCTGCCCCCGGCCGACGTTCCTCTCGAACAAACAAACCGGACGAATGGGGAACAGATGGTCGAGCCACGCGAAGTATTCGACTCGTTTCAGCAGAAACCGGCGTCCCAATAAAACGAATCGCCGTTTTCCGACGCGGTTCCGAGCCGGGGAGGCAGCAAAGAATTTCATTTCGACGGAGTAATGGCGGAGTTATTGAATACAGAGGAGAGAGTCGCAGGAGAGGACGCGGAATGAAGTCGCATCGCGCTCTTGTATGCTCTCTTCCTCTTCCACTCGACGGAGCAGAGAGCGTGGAGATAGATAGATAGAGCGAGAGAGAGAGAGAGAGAGTGAGAGAGAGAGAGAGAGAGAGAAATTGGAAGAAAGCGAGAGGGGCATTTAAATAATCCGAGGGAATCGAGAAACAAACGCGGATTAAAGCTCCCCGGGTAACAGGAATATTTTCTTTTCCAGAGAGATGTTCGTTTCGCGGGTCGCCCGTCCTTGTCCCGCGGAGCAACAAGTGTTTCATGTCGCCAGACGCGGCCTCCGTCGGATTTAATCGAACCAAAATGTATTCTCCGTTTTGTCGGGGCCCGTCGACGGGTTGTCCCGTTTGCGAAAAAATCCCTAGAAGTCTCTCTGTTCGAGCGGCGTCGCGCAGTGGTCGCCCTTTCCAAAAAAAAGAAATGGGACAAATATCAACAACGCCTGAGATCCTGCTTTATTGGCAAATAATTGGAATCAAGTGTACCTCTGTGAATCGTCACGGATAGATTTGTGATTTGTGGTCAAGCGATGATGTCGCGTGATCAAAAACCCACGAGGTAAAAGCTTGTTATTGCAGAGGACAGATTAAAATGGGACATCGTTTGGCTTACTTGTCACTCGAAGCACACAGAACTGAGCGAACCTAATAAAAATTTGCAGCCATTTTAGGATTCTCGAACTGCAGTGAAGAATAAACGAGTCATATTGCAAGGAGAAACAACTCGTTTCAACAGATTCCGAAGAAGTTGCACACCGATGCTCAAGTTCTAGATTATATGAGAAATTGAACCTGTTACCTAAATAATTCATTAATTATTGTAACATATAAAAGTCGTATTTCCAGTTTTCTAAATCATTTTGAACACGGTCATTTCGTTCTGGAGAAAAATTACTTTCAAGCCTTGAACGATTTCCAATAAGTTCCATCATTTCGTTTAGAATTGAAACAAACGAAGCGACACTTATCGATTACACGTATTCGATAGCAATAAATGAAGTTGCACAATTATTTTCAATTTACGTAGCCATGTTCGTTTCAATTTTGTCCCATTCTTCATGGTTGTATCGACCACTGTGCGTCGGGACGACGATCGATCGCGACGATCCACGAGCTGTTGTTCTAGTCTCGAACACTTTTGCCTGATTTCATCATTCCTCGTCATTCGATTGGACCCGACGATGCAAATAATTAGGGCATCTTTGTTTAGAAATCACGTATTTTTAGCATTCTCGTGTAGATTCTCAAGCAACAGTAAACTGTAAAGCGTAATGCAGTGTAATTAGTAGTCCGCGGATTTTATGCGTTTGTCACAAAAAATGTGAATGATTTGGAAGAGTGGAACGATTAAAAGCAATTAATAACGTCGATACACTACTCTCGACCTATTCAAATGATTAAAGATTGAACGTAACTTCTAAGCTACTTCGATATTTTGCTACAGACGCGGACAATTTTTATTCTGCGCAAAGATCCACGGTCTAATAATTAATTTTCGATTCAATGAACATATTACATGATAAATTAACCTGCGCTGTAACGAGTTCCGACTCGTTCTCAAAAATTGTCGATCATTATAAGCATCGCATTATGACATACTTCAAGCGGCGAAATCCTTTCGCCGAAAGGATTCTCTTTCACCGAAAAGTGAAACTCGCCGTTGAATGTTTGCAAAATAGCGAATCATTGCTATAAAAGGAATATCACGGAATGCGATCCATAGAATATTGTCCTCCGAGCGAAATCACACACGTGACAACAGAGATTTCTCGATCGAACCGCGAGAAACGATCCACGCGAAACCTTTGAAAGAATCGAACGAAAAAGCGGCCCATCCTCTCGCAATAAATACATTTTTTTAGTGATTCGGAGCCGCGGTGTCGGAGGCACACTGTCCAAAGCCGATGATCCACGAGAAGATCGATACTCCTCGGTTTTCCGGACTAGAACAGCCGTGTTTAATACGATCGGGGACGATCACGTCGGTGCCGCCGCTCCTTGCGGCGCGGTTCCCTTGTTCTAAGATTCTTAGGGATGTAAGAGGATTATAAGAATAAGTTCTAAAGTTTCTGTGTCATTCATCGACAAGAGCAAGCTCCTGCCGGTTTAATCGTAAGCACTTTAAGGGTAGCCAGTAGACGACGCGATCGATCCAGACGCGCACGCACACATTGTAACAACCGATCCTGTACGCACATGCATCGCTCACGTATGTACGTTTTTTTTTGTTTTAACATAGAAAGACGCAAAATATATCCGAACCGCCCGACCTAAGTTTTCTAATAAGCGCCTTCGTTTCGTTTAGAAGTTAATGACTTAAGCTTGACTCGGATTGGATGGAAGCGCCGGCGTGCCCAGTTTCCGTATCGCGTCAGAACGCCGTAAATTCGCTCTGAATGCCGCACAGAGGCTTGTACTATGTGTACGTTTTATGCTCGACGTAATAAACGTTCCCGGAATTCACTGTGTCTACGGTTATTGTCTCACTCTCTCTCTCTCACTCTCTTTCTCTGCCGCCCATCTCCGATGCCCGAGGAAAAATATTTTCTTACCTTCTTACGAATGATCTCCCCTCGCCGCTCCTCCCTTTTTCGTTCGGCCGTAGTCCTTCGAGCCGATCCTTCTTCTGCCGGAACGGGCAAGAGAAATGATACGCCGATGCTTGCGTAAACCGATAGTCCCCCGCTGAAATGGCTGGCGGATTACGCTCGGAAAAATAGAAACAATGACGGAGAGAGATGTCTGTCCGCAGCTGCCGCTGTTTGAAATCTTGACGCGACAAGCAAGGGAATAAAGGAGAGTCGCTTTCTCAAATATCGATAACGGGACTCTAAACCGACGAACTTCTAGAAATTGTTCCATTCAGTGAAACCGAGGAGAGGCGGTGAAAAATTTGTGGAACAGACTACAGGCGGCTAAAAAAATGATTTACTAGAATACAAATGAAAGGGAACAATTATTACTTTAATTGCTGCATTATGGAATTTCTCGCAATACAAACGAAGGAATATAATTGTGATTATTTTGGTCGAAGCGTTATCTATTCGCAAGATAGGATCTCGGAATAAAATAAAGAAATCCCGTTGAATTCACACTGATACTGTACGTAAATCCAAGAATTCCCCGCGCTACGAACGAAAAGAAACGACTGCGACTATTTTAATCGGAGCATTACGGAATTTCTCGCAATACAAACGAAGGAATCAAATTTTGACTATTTTGGTCGAAGCGTTATCTATTCGCAAAACAGAATCTCGGAATAAGATAAAGAAATCCCGTTGAATTCACACTGATATTGTACGTAAATCCGAGAATTCCCCGCGATACAAACGAAAATAAAAACGACTACAATTATTTTAATCGGAGCATTACGGAATTTCTCGCAATACAAACGAAAGAATATAATTATGATTATTTTGGTCGAAGCGTTATCTATTTGCAAAACAGGATCTCGGAATAAAATAAAGAAATCTCTTTGAATTCACACTGATACTGTACGTAAATCCGAGAATTCCCCGCGCTAAAAACGAAAAGAAACAACTGCGATTATTTTAATCGGAGCGTTACCGATTTCCGAAATAGAATCTCGGAACAAATTAAAGAATTCCCTTGAAATTCATTACGGTATCGTTTTTAAACTGAGAATTCCCTAGAATTGTTCGCAAAATCGTGCCGCATGAGCGAGCGATCCCGATAAAGATCGCGCACCGACTTCAAGCCGCACGTTCACCGCATTATAATCTAATTACCGAAGAGGATAATCGATTATCCAGGCAATTATCATCGTGCACGAGATAACGACGGAAAATTGGATGATCAAATGACGAGCAAAAGGCGTCAGGATTATGGGGGACCGCGCGGGTTTCGACTTTATTGCAGGTAATCGATTGTTTCGATACACAATTGGGGTAGAGCGACAGCTCCTCGTTTAATATGCCCGTGACCGAATCACAGTGTATGTATATAATCGTATTTATATTCAATAGTCAGTTATATTTACAGATCGTATTATCGTTATTATTATTATTAATTTTATTATTATTATTATTATTATTATTAATTTTATTATTAATCCGTGACGACATAGTCGGTAACACTAACATAATCACAGCCAGTTCGCTCGTGTTGTGTGTGTATGTATGTGTTGCTGTGTGTATGTATATATGTGTTCGGAAGTACATCGTGTCTGCGTGTGGTATGTACGTGTATGTGCGTGTGTGCGTGCGTGTACGCGCGCGCGTGTGTGTATGTAATGTTGTTAAACAAGTAGGTACGATCATCGACTAAACTGCCGGGGAGAACACACCTTTCTCCGTCAGGGTTCTCCACGAATTTCCCACGGAATTGAAAATAGGAAGTCATGACTCGATAATTACCGAGCACTTCGAACACGTTATTTGAACAATAAATCATGTCTCAACACGGTAACCACTGGCATCGCGCAAAGAGAATGAGATTAATTCGACGCGCTCGTTTCAAGAAATTCTTTCGCTCTGGCTTCGTCGTTTCGAGATCGTGTTTTCGATATTGTAAAATATTCCGGCTTCAGTTCGATATTATTTTTTATCTACGCGGACAGCGTTTAAAATACGGAAGATTGTTATCATTCGAGCAGTTTCAAAGGTTCGCCGTGCACCGGTGGTGTCTTACGAAAACGCGTGAACGCGAGCAGAAACTTCGACATTGATAATTCGCTCGCTTGGCGCAACAGTCTAGCTTAATGAGATGTTCTTCCCGTGTTTTCAAATGCTTTGTGCGCCGCGCTTAAAAAAAAAAAAGAAAAAAATACCGCGCGACTTTGAGGACTGCCGCGAAAGAAGACGACAGCGCGCGGAGTACGTGTTAATATTTTTTTGCTGGGACGCAGAGGCGCGGCTCTAAAAAATAGCCCTCTGAAGCGAAAGCGTCGTCTGAGGGCAACTTTTAAGCTTCGGTCAACGCCCTTTTGATGTCGCGAAGGGTTCAAGCATTCGCTTTAAAAAAGAAATATCTCTTCCCGAGAGGGAAGTCTCCTTTAAAAACCGGGACCGATTTTTATCAGAAAGTTTCTCTCTATTAGAATCTTTTAGTACTGTAGCGGATGGCTTAAAAAATAAAGAAAGTCGTTTTCCCATGCCGGGTAGAAAACACCATCCCTTGACAATCGGGGCCGTCACACTTTTTCCACCGCGAACCTCTTTTCACTAGAATTTTAAATCTCGAATCCGTTAACAAATTCTTGAAACTTCTCGCGAATCGTAAATTCTCCCGGAATTGCCGAATTTCGGGTCGCCGTGAATTTCCCCGGGGCTTTTTACCGCTCCGCGTTTCGTTTCGCTTCGAGCAATCGAGAGCGTTTTCGGGGAAACTGAATTTCGTGGGAATTCGTGGAGATTCCGAACACGATTCGGCTCTACGGTATTCCGCTATCGAATATTTTCTACATACAATTATAAACATATTCTTTTTCTTGGCAGCATCGGCAATGCTCCCAGAGAATGTTCGCGTTTCCACGAGCATCCGCCCGTTGTCCGAGTCACTTGGATTCCTTTCTCCGTCCCCGCCCCCCCCCCCCGACGCAAATCTGCCCGCTCAATTCCAACAATTCCCAGCCAGGAATATCGAAATATATTTCAATAATTTATCCGTTCATAAACGTCCGCCTCTGATCCCCCTCGATACGATCCCGCGATCTCCCGTTTTGATTGCCCCGCCTTCGAGCCCCGCAAAAGGAATCCAAGGGATACTGATACTCGGGCAATGGTTTCCAAACCCCAACAAGCTTCAAATTCTACGTGGAGAAAGGGGCCTGTTAGCTTAGCTCAATTATTCTGTAGTTTTATTTTGATCGGAGGCGTTGCACATTAAGTGACGCGAGAATTCGGTAATCGTCGAGACGATTGTTCCGTTTCCAAAAGAATCGCAACCTTTCGAATAATCCGTTTCGTTCTAATATCTTTCAGAAATCAAAATGTTTCTTTTTCTATTAAAAAAGAAATGTAAAGCACTAGACCGCAAGCGTTCACGGGTAAGATCGGAATTTTAAAGCATGGAAACTGTTTCATCGAAGCGAGAGAAACAACGAAAGTTCAAGATATTCAAAATTCAGTAAATTCTCCGTAATTTTCCTTCGGCTTGTGAACGGAAATGGACAATTTGGGAGGAGGAGACACGATCGTTCGAGCCTCGCGGCTCATTTTTATGGTTGCCAATTGTCGACGATTAAAAAAGCGAGGTACAATACTCGAATAATCTCATCTTTCCTCCTAAGCTTCCTCCATCAGCTTGTAAACAAAAATGAATTATTTTGGAGTTATATGGAATCATATTATATTTTGGATTATTATGGAATTATTCGAGCCTCGCGGCTCATTTTTGTCAATTGTCAACAATTAAAAAAAGAACGAAGTGCAAGACTCGAATAATCTCATCTTTCCTCTTAAGCTTCCTCCATCAGCTTGTAAACAAAAATGAATTATTTTGGAGTTATATGGAATCATATTATATTTTGGATTATTATGGAATTATTCGAGCCTCGCGGCCCATTTTTGCCAATCGTCAACAATTAAAAAAGAACGAGGTGCAAGACTCGAATAATCGTATCTCTTCCTTCCAAAATTGTTTATTTTTGTTTGCTGAAGGAAAATTAGGGAGAATTGACTATATTCGAAAGCATCGACCAAAGGAACGAACGATTGCGTGGATTCTGCAGTTCGTAAAGCAGTCTCGGAATTCTTCGATCAATTATTGTGCAACGTTTCTCTGTCCGGAGTGAAACTTACCGGCTGATAGAAAAGAGTGACCTTAGCTTAGAGTCAGGATCGCGGTGTCTTAAATATAAAGTTGCGTAGGGGTCTTACCGAACCTCGGTCGTTCGTCAATTGAAAAAAAGAACTTAGCGAGATGTTAAAAGTTCTATGAACACATTGTCCTCGAGCCTGAAAAGGAGAACAGCCGTACAAAACTTCGGGGTACAATTCCGTGCTGTGAATTGAACACATCGAGTACGAGACAGGTTTGGAACAATTTTCGTGCTGTCGAAATTCGTGGCAGTTTTGTAAATCAGAGAGGGAAATAAGTACGTTCTCGCGGTCGCATCGGCGACGAAAGGTTCGAAAGCGGGGAGATGTAAGTACGTTTGATGAGTTTATGCTCGCCGTCGCAGAAGTAAGGAGCATTCGCTTGGAAGATCAAGAGAGGGCAGTCGACGAAACCGAGGAATTCGTTTCAAATTATTCAAATAATTTCTGGAAGTCCCGGGAAATATATTCGGCCGATTTCTTTTCCGCTTCCGCGGTTCGATCTTGTCGATTCGACTAATTATTAAAGCGAAAGAGACACGTTCATGCGTGAACCATGGATTCCCCGGAAGCCCCTGGAAAATCACAGGAGTTTTTCAATTTAGCATTCGTCGATGCGATCCGCTTTCGAACCGTCCGTCGGAAAAACGTGGCATTGTAAATAGTAAATTGAACACAGTACGATTTCACGGATGTAAACCGGAGATCGGATCGACACGGAATCGCGGTACGATTTCGATCTCACGATCCACTGGATTTGATCCGGCTTCGCTGGAATTCTCGGAAGGATTCGACGTTCCTGGGGGGGCTTACATACCTTACGCTACTCTTATCCGTAGTTTAATATCGAAGAATGACTCGAAACACCCTTATTGATTAACATCTCTAGGGCTGGGCGCGGATTGGTGACGGAGAATCGACCGTACTAATCCAACGAGCGCATCTATCGCTATAATAATCGACGATCCACTAATCAACGAATCATTAAACAACGTAAGTCGCTCTAACCCTAGACTTCAAACTCAACCAAAGCGTTTCGACTGCCTCGAATACTAGAAACGAGATACATAAAACTTACATGAAACATATAACATAAGCACAAAAAGTTAACACTGAAACCACCGAACCAATTGGAACGACTGATTCCTGATTTTTCTTTTCACAGTTATTGAAATTATAGAAACGCTTCTGCGAGAAACTTTTTGACAAACTTCGTCATCGAAGCATATACGGCGACAGAAATCGTGCGATGTTTAAGTAAATCAAATTTTCTCATTGTTCTAAAACAATATACGGGATGTCCCAAAATTATGGTACTTCCGGAAAGTGAGAGATTCCTGAGGTCATTTGAAGCAACTTTTTCCTTAGCGAAAATGCGATCCGCGGCTTCGTTTACGAGTTATCAACGAAAAACAATGACCAATTGAAGCGCGAGTGTGACCGGCGCTCCGCCCTTGCGGCCACTGCCGCGTCGCGCCGGCCGTCCGACGCAGCGGCAGTGGTCGCGAGGGCGGGGCGTCAGCCGTACGCGATCTCTCATTGGTCAGCGTTTTTCGTAAATAACTCGTAAACGAAACGACAGATCGTATTTTCGCTAAGGAAAAAGTTACTTCAAATGACCTCAAGAATCTCTCATTTTCCAGAAGTACCATAATTTTGGGACATCCTGTATATCGGTCAAAAAACGACTAACGCGTGTTGTTTTATAATTACTGCAGGATTGAATTTATTTAATCGTCGCGATACTTTTCTTATACGTGTGCTCGAATTAAGAAATCGATTAAATCGTTTCCTGCGAGAGAGACTCTTTACAATTTCAAGAAACTGAAAATAATAATCGTGGAACCGGTCGTTTTGACCAACGCGGTAGATATCCGGCGTCGATAAAAGTCAACGTGCGACGACACTGCGTGCATCTGGCGCACGGTGTATCGTCCCGCCGAGCCGACAATCTACAAAATTCAACAGATCTTAAAGCTTCCGGTCAACAGACTTCCCGGCCCGAAAAACCACGGGAGCACCATACCATCCCTCAGCAATCCCCGCGCAGCCGTAAACAACGATCTACCGAATACTTTTATCGATCAACGTCGCCACCAGCTCGATTGTACACTGATCACCCATCCACAGTCTTGAACAGTCTCGTCCGCGGGTTCGCGGTTTGGGAACGTCGACGCATACTATCGAGCTACCCCGATCTCGATTCTTCCCTATCACGGGTTCGACGGACTCGGGAAACCGCTCCTTCCTCCCCCCTCCTCTCCTCGGGCTAGTCCGACGATGGCACAAAAATTGGGTCCAAGTTTCCTGGCGCGTGTCCCCTGGAGAAGATCCCGGATCCGCCGAGTACACAGTATCGAATAGGTCGACCCTCGCGGAAGCGTGTTAGCGTTAAATACTCGATTACACCGACCGGTCCAGGTTAAGCGATTTATAGTCGGAGGCTCGTCCATTTGTTCGGGGAATCGGCGATTCGTCAGCCGTCCCTGAAAAAGCGTTCCACGGCCGCGCAACAACCCCCTAATCTCGCAATTAGAGGAGCCGTCGTAAATTCTCCCCGGAAGATGGCCGCGTGCCCGGCAGAAAGTGTCCGACAGAACGGCCCTGGCGTTCTTAAAGCGTCGTGGTAGCATTGAAAGGGGATTTTCAATCCTGCCCTGTCGATACGCCGCCGCCGCCGCCGCCGTCTTGCTTCGCGGTCCTCTTCATCCGTCATCCCATTATCCCTCTCCTCGTTCCCAGCGCGATAGTATCGACGATGAGAGCGAAAAGAAAAAGAGAGAAAAAAAGAAGAAGTAAAACGACGCGCCGTTTGCGGATAGGACCGCCGATCCAGGCAGTGGCGTAGTCACGACCGAAACGTCCGCTTCGATCGGCGACTGTCTCTCGCAGCTCTCTGTGCGAGCGCTTTTGATTGTTGACGGTAGGAGCGAGAATCCTCGGCTCCTTGGCCACCCGAGTGGGAGCCCCGGGGTTTTGATTGTTAACCGTGTAGCAGTAGCTCGGCTGTTTGGCCAGCCAAGTGGCCAGAAGCTCGCGGCAGCTACTTCGATTCCTTCGAACGGCGCCAGGTAATCGATGCGGATGATCCTCAAGTCCCTAACTTGTACACAGAGCTTCTCGTCTCCCCTAAATTTCTACGTGCTCGTCCTAGAGTGCTTCGGGACACCAGCCCCGAGGTCCGATTCCTAACTGAACACATTCGCGACCCTGCAGCCGCCTCGGCTGCAGCCCAAACCGGATCGTCTCAAGGTAACAATCACAACGAACATCATCGGACCACCGCGTTCGTGTCCGCTTCGGCACACTCCGTCGCGTCGGAAGCTCTCCTCGAGCCGCCTCCGAGTCCCCTAAATTTCCTCCAGTGTCCTCCGAGCCCTCGGCCCGCGGCACTCGCGAGTCCCTCAGACTCTTCACCGCTATTCGTACCACTCGATTCCCACTGGTCGCGCAGTTTCACTCGCCTCCGACCCACCCGCCGGACCTCCTCGTCCCGGCGATCCTGCCGGACCTCCTCAAGAAATGTTCCCGTGTCGTGAAACCGTGCCGGACCTACTCGAAAACGCTCTCGGCGGCCTCCCTGATCTTGACGATCAGGAACGACCGTCTGCAGAGCTTGACTAGCAGTTCGATCCTCTGTCAGGACGGCTTCCTCAGCTGGGGCAGCGTGATCAGGTAGATGTTGCCGAGGATGGCGCCGACCACCAGCAGCATCACGATGATGGCCGACAACCGCCGCGCGAACTTCACGAATCTCCGACCCCTCGAGTCCTTCTTGCTCTGGTTCGGGAACACCGCCAGACCCAGCAGAGGACCGGCCAGGGCGCCTGCCACGTGGGCTGCCCAGCCCACTCTGCCGCAGCCCAGAAGGGCCGGGATCGGCAGCGACGCCACGTCCGCGCTGGCTAACAGCAAGACGGCGCCGAGACGCCAGCCGGCGTACCGCAGCTCGCCGTGACACTATGGCAAACGAATTGATCGGGTCCGATTAACTGGCTGCGAGAGAGCGACAGCCGGCACGGCTGACAGCTTTAACCCCTTGCGGCGTCGTTTGCTTCACGGTTACAATGATTAAGTGCTTTGCGATTGTTCTATAGTCATTCCTCCCTAATTTGCAAACAGTTTTCGCACAAAAGTGGGCAATTTGGGGAGAGGAGATTGGATTACGCGAGCATCGTGACTTGCTTTTATAGTTGTTGATAATCGAATGAAAATAATAAAATAATAAAATGAAAATAATAAACTATAAATCTGTATCTACAGGATTATTATAATGTATATATTACATATGTTATAATATAATATATTATATATTTTCCGAAAAATTATTGTACAAGTGAGAAACGAGGGGTTCCTGAGGTCATTTGAAGCAACTTTTTCCTTAGCGAAAATGCAATCCACGGCTTCGTTTACGAGTTATTAACGAAAAACACTGACCAATGAGAGGTCGCGTATGACTGACGCCCCGCCCTCGCGGCTACTGCCACCGTGTCAGACGGCCGGCGCGACGGGGCATTGGCCGCAAGAGCAGAGCGCCGGCCGTACTGGCGCTGCGATTGGTCGCTGTTTCTCGTTAATAACTCGTAAACGAAGCCGCGGATTGCATTTTCGCTGAGGAAAAAGTTGCTTCGAATAACCTCAGGAATCTCTCATTTCTCGCTTGTACAATAATTTTGGGACACCCTGTATGTATGTCTGTATCTATCAATGTAACTATAAATAGTATCTTCTCTTTCAAAATTGTCCATTTTTGTGCGCAATCTAAACGCGAATTAGGGAGAAATTACTGCGATTTCTTAGGGGAGAATAAAAAATTAGGGAGAAATATTACTGCAATTTCTTAAGAGAGAACAAAAATTTGATAGTAATAAAAATAAAAAAAAATTGATGCGCCTACATTTACTTGAGTGCTTAAATATTAACGACAAAAGGACAGAATTTTGTTTCGACTTGATAAATAAACGGAATACCATTTATACTTAACAAGTTATTATCAGAAATCGCCATTACGAGTCAAGGTTACGTGAAGATTACGTTAAATATTATGTCGTGGTCGTCGAAGTACCGCAAAGGGTTAACTATCGGCGCGCGAAATCCTGTCGCTTCTGTTTTAAGTCTACATGAATTTTTATTCGATTGGATATTTGTTCGATAGCGTCGAATAAAATTGTATATTCGTTGAGTCTTTTATCTCTTATCCGTCATCCGAATAAAATTTCGCCCGACTCTGATAGGCACGTACACGATCGTAGTGCCAATAATTGTTGCCAAAATTGAAATAACTCGAACAATAATAAAGTTTTCGAGCTGAAATTATATCGCTGCAGTTTCTGTACACGATGTTGAAGAGGATCGAGCATGGGTCATTTCTTGATCCTATCTGTTTTCACAAGAATATAAATTATTGTATTTAACACTGAACCTACCATCTGCGACACATTTTTGGGACACCCTGTATACATGTATCATCTTTCCTGCAATCGATGCACAAAATTTTTATGTCGCATAAGGACATAATCGCATAGTAATCTTGCTTCTGTTCAAACTAGTGAAAGATCTCTTTTGTTCTCCAGAAACGAATCATTGTGACATTAAAGAAAAAACAAGAATAAATAATACATCATTATGGCATTTATCGCAAAAAGTCGATTATTCCTGTAACTTCATCCAAATGGTTTTCTAGGAATATCGAGACGTTCGTCGCGATGTCAAGTATGCAGAAAAGATCGGCGAGAAAGTTCGGCCGCTAACGAAGTCGGAATTTTATTTCTGCTCGGGGCGAATGAACGAAACTGCCGCGGGCGTTGTTTGGTAAATCGAGTTCGCGCGAGCTACAATCGCGGAAACAAGAAGCAATCGAAGCCGAAACTTCGGCAAAGCGGCGAGCGTAACTTCGGGGCGCGCCGCGCCGCGCCGGCAAGAAACAACCCGTGAGAGGAAAGCTGATTCGGAATGCGCCGCGATCTTTGTTAATCCTCGGAAGAACTTTACGCTGTTCGAAACTATCTTCGTCAACTCGCAAAACCGCCTCGCCCCTTTGCGAGCGGTTCCGCCGGCTGCCGATCGATGTATTGTTTCTTCTTTTCTTTTTTTGTATTATTGTTCGCTTAATGAGATTTAAAACCGAGCCGACGGTGGGTAGAAGCGGCGGGGAAAGGAAACTTCGTCGGGGCTGTTTCACCCAGTTTTTCCAGCTCTGCGCCCGTGGCCACCCCAGGCGCGCGAGTGGCCGCGAGAAGTTTCGACTCCCCGCCGTCGATAGATCGACCAACTTTCCTCGAAACTCACCAAGTAAAGATGCGCGAGATGGCTGGTAAGCAGTGCGTAAGCACCTGCGGAAGAGCCCATCAGGAACAAACTTGGCTGCAAAAGAGACGCGCCCAGGGCTCCGCAAACACCGCCCCCAAGGTAGATCGTCGCGACACCTAACCGACCTTGTTCCACCTGTAAAGAACACATTTTCACCGTTCAATTCTCGTAACAGGATTCGAATCTCTCGTTTTACCCGCGAGCTACTGTTTTTTGATTTACCAGATTTTCAATTCTGGGAAATTTACGATAGAATGTGGCTGATTCTTCTTTACTTTTTTATAGCGTATTTTACTTAATTCGTAACCATTATTACTGGTCTGCGAGACTGTTACTAATTTCTTATTCATTCTTATTCGTAATTCCAAGAAAAATAAGAAAAGGAACGCTTTTAACACTGGATTTACGAAACCCGTCAAAATGGCGGGTCACGAATTTTTTAATTTACGATCATTCGTATCGGAAATATACGTTTATGAGTTATTTATTCAATTTATATGTTACATACGGCAAATGTTACTGCAACAGCTCTTGTTAAAAATCAGAACTTTTATAAACTGATATAAAACAGCTGTTTCTTGTGCCCCGTGAATCTAGCGTTAATATCACTTTCTTCAACTAGTTCGAACTTTGACCACTTCGTTATCGATGTTCGAAGTGAGATCAATTGATTTTCATTTTTTACATAACACATTTATGTCAATAATAATTGTGTTTAATTACTGGGACAAGGCATTTTAATCGCCGGAACAGAATTGAAATTAAGCGTTGGGTCATAAGGGACTGCAAACAAATCTCAATTAATCGAATTCTTATCTTCTCCTCGATCAGCTCTGTCGTTTCTTTTGTTAGAAAAGAGTCTGCTCTTTCAAATAAATATTAACAAACATCGACGAGAGTTAAATTATAAGAATAGAGTAATTTCTCCCGAAAATGCCGAATTTCAGGTTGCTCTGAATTTCTCTGTGCTAGTCCTACGCCTACGCGATTCATTGCTACGCCGATGCTAAGAATCGACGGAGTCGGTCAACCAAAGAATTACAAAAAATCCGCTGCCTTTTTTTGCACAGCGCCCCGAGTTTCAATAAAAACGAACCGCGAGGCTAAAAAAATCGCGACTTATCCTCAAATCCGCCGGTCTCAATTCCGACCTCCGAACGATTTCTGGAAGAAATTACCATAATACCAGCATGACTCGGACACCTTTTTCAAACGTCCAAGCACAAGGACGTTCGCCTTAAATCGCGCAAGATACGAATAAGCGCAAGATACGAATGACTGAAAACTAGCCGCAAAATAATGGAGAAAGGGACGGAGGTCGGTGGAAATTGAGAGGTCAGCTGGGAAGTTAGTAGCCGGCGTCCAAGGGTTAAAAACCAGCCTGGAACGTTCACAGTCTAATATCCGAAGCGGTTTCCAGCCGATTCAACCCTTTCAGGGTATGAAATCGATCGAGCCGGCGCACCGGCCAGGAAAGATTCAACGTGGTCGACGACGAGCGGAAAAAGGAAGGGGTGGAAGGAGGGACGGTTGCCGGCGGTGGCGATGCGGCGGCGGTGGTGGTGGTGGTCCGCGGCCAATTAGTCTGATTAACTCACCTCGAGCAGGGTGGCCAGCACCAGCTGGATGACCACGTTGAGTGCAAGGTGAAGCGCGTTCGAGTGCAGGAGCATATACGAGGCGAACCTCCAGCCCTGGATCCTCTGTCGGGGATCGTAGACCAGCCACCTGTGCAAGGTCGCTTCATCCCCCAGGCAGTGAACGGCTATCTGTCGTGATCGAGAATGCGTTTCAATCGGCCGAGTAAATCGCGATAACGAGCGGCCGGGGTATAATGGTCCCCGGCAACAGAAACAATTGAAAGTGCACTCGACGCGGAATGCAGCCTAAGCATTGCCGCGGCTCTGCAGTAACCTTTTTTCCGGAACTTGCTGATCTTAACCCTTTGCACTCGAGTGGTGACTCCGAGTGACACCGCTAAAAATTCTTGTATTTGTTTTTATCTTATATTTATTTATGTTATGAAATAATCTCTACGTTATCGTGTTGTTGTTTATATTTAAGAGACCGATGAAAGGGTAACAGTTTTTATAAGTTGCAAGACTCGATTGTATACGCACAAACTGCACCGAGTCGTATCAAATGGAAATAGCGTAGGTCAGAAACGGTCATCTTGGATTTAGAGTTAGAATGGCTTCGAGTGCAAAGGGTTAAAACACTGGAACTGCTGAACGAGTCGGAACGACTGATTTCTGATCGTTTCTTTCGCGATCTTCGATACCGTGAAAATGTTTTCGCCAGAAATTTGTATACGAGCTTCGTCATTCGAGCGTACGTTGCAATAAAAATTGTGGGAATTTTGGATAAATTCAATCTTGTTATTGTTAGGAAACATTAGTCACGTTTAGGGCTTGGTAGTTCCAGTGTTGACATGGTCTCGTTCGCTTGATAGATCGCGATTGATATTGGTTGTTAAGCTAGCACGTTTGAAGCGTTGCATAAATCGTATAAATTGCATACATTGTATAAATTGCATAAATCGTGTAAACTGCATAAATCGTGTAAATTGCATAAATCGTGTAAATTGCATAAATCGTATGAACTGCATAAATTGTATATATTGCATAAATTGTATATATTGCATAAATTGTATATATTGTATAAAGTGTAATATTCAACAAAATACAATAGAAGCTTTCCAACGAAATAAAATAAAATGAAATGCATCGAATTTGGAGATGAAGAATGAAATCTCTGACTATGAATCTGTCTGCAAATACTAAATTTCGTACGTCATTTTACAAAAATTCGGCGTGAAGAGAATTCTCCTTTGTCACCTAAAAGAGTACTGATTGTAAATGGATAATCAAACTGCCGTTAGAACTAGTTGATTGTATCCTATTACGTACATTCCATTAATTGTGTAATATATTCCATTAATTGTACGATGGTCTATTAATTCTATTCTATTATGTACATTGTCATTTGCATTCTGTCAATTGTACTCTATTAATTGCACTGTAATTTGCACGTTCTCGTTCGTATTCTATTAATTGCACTCCATTAATCGTATTGTATTGTACTATGTACATTGTTGTTTGTGTCGTATCAATCTACGATCAATCTATCTATCCTATTACATACACTGCCGATGCCATAAACGCGCGATGATCTATCTATAACTCCATCATTTCGTAGTTAACACCTTGTCGTACTATTTTCTTCGTAGTTACGACGATCAACAGTTTTTCGATTGCAATAAATTCGCGCGAAGAAGAATATATTAATAATAATAATAATAATAATAATAATATAATTATATAATATATATAATAATAATATAATTATATAATTATATTATTATTATTATTATTAATATATTAATATATATATATAATAATAAATATAATAATAATTTATATTTATCGCGTGTCTACATTTACGTAAATGTTTATACAGGTCATTACTAAAAATCTCCATCACGTGTCAGACTCGTCGAAGTATGGCAAGGGATTAAAGAAAGCAAAAAAAACAGTGAACGAATACTTATGGACATTAAAAAAAAAATTGTACCAGCCGCTGGACATATTAAAAATTGTATTAGAATGCCAGATTACACGGTTCCGGCTCGATTGGAAGAGAAAAGCGTATCCGTCGGACGTTCGGCCGGAAAGGGAAATAAACGGAGTAACACAATTGCGTTTGCCTTTCGACGTTTCATCGTTTACGCGGATCATCAGGAAAATAGTTCGTTCGAGCGATTGCACAATAAAAAATCAGCGCGCAGGCAATTAGAACGAACGATAACCCTCCGCCGATCGAAATATCGCAGAATATCAGACAATCCCTTCTCGTCGAACGCGCAATTTGGCTCGCAATTGAACGTCGCGTCGTGCGCTAGCGCGACACGAAAAATCCATGCGCGCGCTATTTGATCGGGTCTGAGGGGCAGGGGGAGGGATGAATGGAATTACCGAATAGACAATTATTTACGCGGCGCGGGATTTTCGACAGTCATCCCCCATTAAAATTCGGCGATCAGAATCGGATCGGTTCCCGGTATTCGTCACACGATCGGAAGAGCAAAAACATGGACACACGCGAGCCCGGTTATTCGGCGAATAATTAATTCTATCTCGGTAGTCCGGCCGATGGAATGGTAATTAATCATGACCGCGTATTTAAACGGTGGATAAACCGGCGCGACACCATTGTCGGCCTTGAAACTTGAAACACCCGATCATCAATATGAATGGCGATCGGACGGCTGCGGTTAAAAAAGACGCGTGATCCCGCGATCCGTTCGTTCGCGCGGTGGAAAACTGTTATTTAAAAAATGCCATTGTCGAAACGTGCGAACGACGCGACGCTGATCGGAACATTGTTCAAGGTGGTAATTTGTTTAACTCTTCGGGGCACGGCGGGATTAAAAATGTCCCATTTCTTCGAATCACCTCGAAATATTGCGATATTGGCACCCACGCGGCACGATGGGACTATTCCAGTCCCACGCTGTAGCAACAAATTTTATTGAATTATAATATTATATATTATATTATATTATTATTATTATATATATATTATATTATATTATTACTGTCTCTTATACACATCTAGATGTGTATAAGAGACAGGTATATATATATATATATATATATATATATATATATATATATATATATATATATATATATATATATATATATATATATATATATATATATATATATATATATATATATATATATATATATATATATATATATATATATATATATATATATATATATATATATATATATATATATATATATATATATATATATATATATATATATATATATATATATATATATATACCTGTCTCTTATACACATCTAGATGTGTATAAGAGACAGATATTATTATTATTATATATATATTATATTATTATATTAATATTATATTATATATATTATATTATTATATTAATATTATATTATATTATAATATTATTATATTAATATTATATTATATTATAATATTAATATAATAATATAATATATATAATATAATATTAATATAATAATATAATATATATATAATAATAATAATATAATATAATATAATATTAATATAATAATGTAATATATATAATATAATAATAATATAATATAATGTAATATATAATATAATATTATATTATTATAATATTATATAAAAAACGTGACGAACCCGAAAGGGTTATAAATATGCAAAACTGTACATGTAAAACTGTTAAACGGAGACAATAGACTGCGGATCTCGGCGAAAAAAATGAATCGTTTCTAATTGAATCGTCCGAAGCGGAAATTGAATCGAGATACATTCTATCTTTCCGATAATTTTATACCATCAGAAAGTCACTGTCTTCGGTAGCAATAATCGCTGGAAATCCGTTCCGCTGTCTCTCGCAGCTCAGAAGTTACAGAGCGTCGCGAAACGCTCGAGCACGCGCAACCGCGCGATTCTAATCGAACAATCCGCGACAAACCGCTCGGAACGATCGCGATCGTTCGGATCAGCTTCCGCGAAGAAACGCGGCCGGGTATAATCGGTTGCGCGAATTCTTGGCTCGTCCTGTTACCAGCGGCGAATTACCGGGATCGATATTCATGAAGTCTGATCGGGCCAATTAAACTCGAAGCACTACCGGTTAGTTCGCGAGCCGGTATCGAATTTTCCTACGTAATTGATCGATGATAAAATTCTGTTACAGATATCAAATTTTCGCCGTGGATCGAGTTAAATTGTTCGTCGCGGGCTTTCGTAATTGAAAGCGGAGACCTTGCGGTCCCGCTAATGCGTTCCCGGACTCCTCTAGTGGTTTTAAAAGGTTTTAGATGGCGGTTCCGGAGAATGTTCCAGCGAACCTCGCGCCAGCCACGCAAGATTGGCGCGTTTCTGTTGCGTTTGCACGCGCCGATGCAATTCGTAACACGTGTCTGACGCGAAAATTTGAATAAGAAGAGTCGATTCGGAGCTGTTTTTTCAAGAAATGTATCTAACTGTATAATTAAGCTGTAATTATTAATATAATCTAAATGTAATTGATAATATAATTATATATAATTAGTAATAAAAATAATATAATTAAATATAATCAATAATATATAATATAATTAAATATACTCAATAGTAATAAATAATATGATCAAATATATAATCAATAATAAATAATATAATTAAATATACCCAATAGTAATAAATAATATGATCAAATATAATCAATAATAAATAATATAATTGAATACAATCAATAGTAATAAATAATATTATTAAATATAATCAATAGTAATAAATAATATAATTAAAATATAATGAAACTGTAATAATAAAACTGTATAATTCAAGAAGTGTATCACACAATTACACTATTAACAATTTGACTGCCGCGTCACCCATCGCTGGAATTCATAAAAATTCAATTTCTACGCCGACTCGTTATAATTTCCTGATTTCATTAAGGGGCAAGAACGTCAAAGACGTAATCGATGTCACATACTTTTGCTTTGCGATTTTCATTTGATCCAATAAAATACGATTCAATTCGATGACATTTTTTAACCTTTAAACTGCGCGCCACATGTAGGACGTTAAATTGAAGCGTCCTTATTTCCGAATCAGCTAAATATAAATACAGAGAGAGAGAGAGAGAGAGAGAGAGAGAGAGAGAGATACAGGGACGAGAATTTCGCCCCGCGCCCCGTGCAAACGTAGAAAATTCAAAGGCGCCTCCAACGTACATATA